TTCTGGTTCCTGAAATCCTAATTCCATGGCGTGTTCAGGTGATGCAATAAGCCCTGCTGCAACCCAGCTTAACAATGAGAGATGTCGAGTTGTTCTACAAGTTGCACCAATGCTAGTTTCAATTGTCAGCATATATATCTCGATTCTTCACACTTGGTAGCATGATCGAGTGCAGATGGATTTTGCTTGCACATCAAGTAGATACCTTTGGGTTCATGCATGGTTTCTTTATACTTGATCGAAGTTGCATTACACAAAATACAAGCTTTTGGTTTATAAGATTAATTATAATAATTAGTATTAGGTGAAACAAAATATAATGATTTAGATTAAGATAAATAGATAAGGATAAGAGGATTTATTGGGGTATGATTGATTTTTTGATTATTTAAAAAGATTGATAATCTATTTTTTGTAGTTTTTGGATAATGGATATAGTGATTATATGAGAGAGAATAAAATTTTATTTCAAATGCTTGATGATTCAATCAGGTCTATAATTCATATGGCAAATGACAATAAGGTTAAGATAGAAGAGAAAAAAACAATTGCTATGAACACTAAATTTGGTAAAAAAAATATATTAATGATATGATATTTATTCCTAGTTTAAAATAAAATCTCATTAATATGGCTCACCATCATGAGATCGTAACCCTTTATCCTGACCATTGTAGTAGGTGCTTTTCATGAGAAAAGACCAATTGAAGGGGAGAGTTTCTTCAAAGATAAATTCACGAGCAAGTGGTATGTTTTTACGATCAACTCTAGCATCGAGAAATTTGTTAAGATATTATACTATTTTTTATGATGAAAAAATTTGATTTATGATAAAAAAATTTAAATTGATAGCAACTATGAGAATGATAAAAACAAAAATATTTTTTATTTTTAATTTTTTTCTTACATTATTGATAAATCAACATTATGATATAAAAGATATGATCATATGAATTATGATACATTAGAATTATTAAATCAAAGAATATAATAGTTGGTTTGTCTAACATTAAGAATAAAGATACTATTGATGAATCTTATATTTTTTAAAAATAATATAAAAATTCCTTACAAACATGTCATTCTTAGAGAGCCAAACAAATATTTAGCTTTATGTAAACTATCTCACATGGTGAAAGTAAATATTTTTTTATTATTTATATATGTATGCACAAAGATGATGTGAGTATATTTTCTAAAAGAAAAAACTGAAATCTTCTCTATTTTCAAAAATCTGAAACCGTATGTTGTAGTGTTTGAGTTTCACATACTTTCAATTATAACTAGTATGGCGATGGAAACATAAATAATTTGTATATGTTACCCATATTTAGTAATATGATTTATGATGTCTATGTTTTATAAAAATAATAAATGATATGCTCATGTTTTTGACTTTTAAAATTGAAGTATAAGCTTTCTAAAAATATTATTTTCAGTGTTATACGAAATATTAGTTAAGCATGCATAAGTATTAATGTTTACGTTAAATATAGCATAACGATTAAAAGTGACAGTTGAATTTTAATCGACTGTGAGTGAATATCAATGCCTGAATAAGTTTGGCCATGATTAATGTAAGGAAGTTTGAGTTTTAAATAATATATATTTAGAAGATCATAGGCATGAGTGGAATAATAAAAAAAAATAGAGATGATTTGTGTTTACTAAATATTGAGATATATAAGTAAGACTGAAAGATAAGTTTAGATAAAAAAAATATCATCTTTGTCAAGTCAAATTAAACTCAATTGAAGTTGCTAACAATATTAGAATTATTTTAGTAAAATAAAAAAATAAAAATTAAATAGTGAAGTAAATCAAAAAGGAGTGTTATACTAAATATTAAGATACATAAGTGAGATTGAATGATGCATGTTCAGATAAAAAAATATCATCTTTGTCAAACCAAATTAAACTCAATTGAAATTACTATAATATTAAAATTATATTAGTAAAAAATAAAATAAAATAAAATAAAATATTTAAATGAGGCCTAATGGGATTAAACCCTATACCTCAAGGTAACATCTTAAGCACTTTTATCTTATTTTGACCTTATATTCTTTACCAACTTAATAACCCATGATCCTTTTCTCTTTTTTTTAATCATTTTCTCATGAAAGCTAGGAAACCCTAGCTCTAAGAAATATCAAGGTAAGAAAAACCTAATTTTTCTTTTGCTATACCTAAGGTTTCAATTTTATATATTATAAGCTAATTTATCTTTAATTTTTGGATATATTTTGAATGATTCTCTTACTATTCTAAAGCCTCCAACCTTAATTTAAGATCAGTGGATACTCAGAATTTCTTTTTTTCTGGGAAAGGGTTCTATTTAAGCTGAATTAGCCCTCTTAGGAATATGATTAGATTTTATCCTTTTGACATATTTTAAAAGGTTCCCATAAGGTTATGTGAGATTTATAATTGAGTGAATACTAACTTTGTATACCATGATATGAGGTATATAAATTCATGTAATCCCAATCCAGTTTCAACATAATAGAGTAGGCATTGATAGTTGAGTTATGAGAATAATTTAGCTTCCAAATGATTCTATTTTAAGCTAAAATTTGGTGTATATTTAGTTCTACATATTTCATAGTCTTCTATAAAATTTCATGCTAATTCAAGATCTTTTGGTTAGCTAGAATAATGAAGCAAAATATTTTCATAAAATTATGCTATGGTTTGATTTATACTAATTAGTTCATTTATTTATAGAGTAAATTTTAAAAAAATTGATGGTAAAATTTAGATGAATTTTTAGGTTGAGTATGATTTATTTTATAAAGGATTTTATTATTTTTTTCTATGAATTATTTAAAAGGGTTTCATATGACAACTTGTAAGTTAGTGAATACTCCAATTAATACCAATGATAAACTTATGTTAAATAATAGAGTTAAAAAAAGATTAAAAAAAATAATATAGAAGTTTAATTAGATAGTTAATCTATCTCATACATTCAAAGTCCGACATTATATTTATAATTAGTTTGTCATTCAAATTCATGCATAACCCGAACGAGCATCACTTTGGAGCAACTAAAAGAGTTCTTAGATATGTAGAAGGAACTCTTAATTATAGCATCTGTTATGAGCATGCAAAAAGATTTTAAGTTGTATTCTTATACTAATAGTGATTAGCTAGATGATAGAAAAAATATTTTAGGATTTGTATTCAATCTTGGCTCAAGAGTGATTTCATTGATAACAAAAAAGTAAGAATGTATTACTCTCTCAAGCTCTGAGGTAGAATATGTTGCGACTACAAGTATGATAAGTCAAACAATATTACTTCGAAGAATTATAGTATGACGAAAAATCCAATCTTTCACGGATGCACCAAATACATCAAAGTTCGACATCATTTCATTCGTGAACTGGTTGATAAAAGAAAATTTCAAATTGACTATTGCAACTGTAAAAACTAGTTTGTCGACACCTTTATAAAAGCTTTGACAAAAGAAAATTTTTATTTTTATTTTCAAGATAAACTTAAGTTATAATTATTTTTTTGAATTAAGGGGATATGATAACATTAATTCAAATAGCTAGGATTAAGCATAACAAAAAATAAGAATTTAAATTAAGATAAATAGATGATGATGATGAAATATATTAAACTATGATTGATTTCCTCATGATTTAAAAAAACTTTTACACTATTTTTAACTAACACAAATAAATATTTTTGAATAAATTCAGAGTACCACAGAAACATATCTTTTCTCTCTTATACTTGGGAGTTCTGCAGAGAGCCAACCTTCTGCCCTGCACAAGTCTTCTCGTCTTGTTGGGTGTACAGGCTATTCGACTGCCTTCAATTGTCCAATGCCTGTGTTTCCGAGCTTAAAAGTATTAAGTTGCACTCGTGTGGACGCCGACCGACGATGATTGATTGCAACTTCTTGTTACCAGATGCACGTAGCAAGAAAGGACGTTTACCATATCCTACAGCATCATCTCGGTACTAGGTTTGAATCTTTCTTCTCGGGCATCTCCTCCTTTCCCACCACCATGGCATCCAATGAGCAGTTCGAAGATAAGAAAGGCACCACTCCTCCTCCTCCATGGCTGGGCTGGACTGGTTTCGAGCAATCGAGAATATCCACATTCCCAGGAGACGACACGTGAAGCGCCACCGAAGGATTCGAGGGCTGCACAGGTGTCGTTTGACGTACAGTCACAGCCCCATCGACCATCCTTGATCGCTTTTGCCTCTCCAATCCAATCCATCATCTCCTCGTGTCTTCTAGTGCCAAACATTATCATATCCTTGCAGTCCCACGTCTCGATGCTTTGATTCCTTTTGGCCCCCCATGGCCGATGTGGACGAGACGATAAGGATGATGGCGAGCTTGCAGAATGATTCTTTTGTTGTGGAGTCCCACAACAATTGAGCCCTTAGGAATCGCCATCACTGGAAGTGGCTTCTTGCAGATAGAGGGGGTCACTGCTTCCAACAGAAGAGAACGAACGACTCGTTATAACAGAGACGATGTGGGAAGCATACTTTATCGTATGCTTTCTCATCGATTTGAAGTCATTGGACATCATCATTGGAGGCTCATCGTCACCGTGTTTCAAGTTTGGTCCTCTTCATCTGATGGTGACGGAGACGGCAGAGAGGGCGGTGCTTCCTACTTGGTTCATCAATGGTGGGGAAAACGGCGTGGCTTCTGCTGTCATCTAGCGACGACTCGAACTAATTATCCCACGTAACATCAAAGGTGTGTGACCGGGACTCGATGCGGAGAGGCACGTGGCCGCTCGCTTCTTATCCGGTTGCACGTGTGGGACCCACGTTCACTCGTACGAATAAGATGGGCTATCGTTTACGCTCTTATCCACTCATAACATAGATAATAATGCAGTTTATATTTAATACATTTCTTATTTACGTATTTTTTTTAAATAATATTTAATTTGTCTAAAAATAGAGAATAGACTCGAAACGATGATACCAAACAGCGAGCGAGAGAGAGAGAGAGAGAGAGAGAGAGAGAGGTGTTTCATGGGAGCACATGGAGTGAACTCGGGGACGACACGACACGTCACATGAGCAGTGGCGTCGCCGACTGTGCTCGCTTTATGCCTTGTCGCGTGTCACGTGTCACTCCCCCTACTTCCTCTCGCCCTATTTATACCTCCTCTTCTGGGCCGATGAGCCATAGAACAACGCAAAGTGGTCGTGGTGAGTGGTAGTGTTGTCTGCAGTGAGAGAGAGAGAGAGAGAGAGGGGGGGGGAAGGGTCGAATGGAAGGAGAAAAGAAGCCATCGTCATCTTCGATTGCCGATGAACTGTTAGACATCAGGAAGAGTGCGGGGACGCCCGCCGATTCCTCCTTTTCCTCTTCTTCTTCTTCCGCCTTGTCGCCCGGCTACTTCAGCAGTGTCTTCCCCACTGGTTCCACGGTATGCACGGTTGGCTCTTCTCAATGGGTGATCGATGATGGGTTTCACGACTTGTAGTGGAATTCGTCTGTGGATTATTTGTTTGAAGGACTAGGATTATAGTAGGGTTTCGGATTTTTAGGCAAATTGATAACTGCCTAATTGTTTTGCCATCTCCTCTTAATTTACTACGTAATGATTAGAACCGGTCCTAAATGAATGTGTTCTGTTCTACGACGTTGTAGGAGATGTCTAAGGATTCAGCAGAGAGTGACTTGTTCTGGACCTCCAGCGAGCGAAGGACAGATGATCTGATCGGGAACGCTCAGGCCGCTGCAGCAGGTCCTTGATCATGAACCAACTCATGGTTGATTTCGACTAGGTTTTCTATTCATTGTTTCTGCTAAATTAGGCCGTCCCCCATTTTTACTTTCTTGCAGTTTAATCAAGTTCTTATAATCCATTAGATGCATGTAGTCCTCAATAAAGTAAACCATGAACATCATAAGCACCCACCGAGTGTTCATTGTTTCTTTTGCTATGCAACAAGAAGAAGAAGAAGCTGAAGCTGCAATGTCACAACTATTTGGGTCTGGGTATATGGAGATCTTCTCCCACTATTGAGTTTTAAGTGTTCTATTTTGATGTAAAATCTCGAAGCAATGCTGTTAGGTTTTCTTGTTCTTGTTTTTGTCTTTTGTTTAAACAATTAGAAGTTGACCAGAAGGGCTAAATCTCCCTGCGCAGATGGGAAATCTCAGGGAAGTCCCAGCAGAAGGCAAACTACGTGGAGCAAGGATGGTAAACTAGTCGATCCCAATCAATCAGAAGAATCGACCTACTTGTGCTCATCTGTGCACTATGGTGGTCGAGATTTCTATGTCAGCTCTCCTTCCAACCAAGTCTCTGGAGCTCCAAAAAGTGTAAGGGAATCAAAAAATTACATAACTAAAAGGAAACCAACATGTCCCACTGTTGTAACCAACCTTACTTTCTAATGCTACCAGGATAAAAAATCTGATGAAGGGGATGATTCAGGTGACGCTAACATTGCAAACAGAGGTGAATGGTGGCAAGGTATGGCATAGGTCTATGTGCTTTATCTAAATACCTGGAGTTCAAGAGTAGCAATTCAATAAATTTATTTGTTTGTTTCCCTAATTTATTAATTAATCAGGTTCCCTGTACTACTGAAGACACTGATTAGATCAGTATGCTCTTCTTTTAATAGAGGAGGAAGGTAGTTTGAAGCCTTGGGCTCTATTTTCACATATTTCCATTGCGTAAATTTTACTGATATTTGTTTTATTGTTTCAAGCTATTCCTTAATTAGTATTCTTTCACTTCATGAGACTAGTGATCTTATTAAGTTCCTACACATGATAGATGCTCAAGTAAGTTTGTCCTGATGTTTCATGATGTTACAACTTTTGAACCTAGAAGTGCTTTCCTCTTGTCCGTGTCCGGGTTTAGCATATTCTTTGGTAGGTCATGAAGCTATGTATGGCTTTGGTAGATTCTTTAACAATAGAACATTACCATCATAATGGAACTTTCTTGTTCAAAATATTCATTTATTGCTGTTTTGGGTCATTTCTTTTCTTACACCTATGCAAACATCCGTTTGGACTGTGTTATCTACTATAGGCTTTATTGGATGTCCAATTATTTTTGTATACTGAAATATAAAAAGCATGTCATTTCCTCAAATCGACACCATTTTGAAGCATTGTGCCGCTTTTTGGCCGTAACAAATTGTTAGTATATGGCAGATGAACATTTATTTAAGAAAGATTGTCAAAATTATGAAAATCATGGTTGGCCTGTATTTATTACTTCTCAAGTAATTGGATGGCCTTTGATGACCTATTCTTATTGCATCATCCTAAAGAGTCAATAGGATTGCAAATTTCTGGATGAAGCTTCAGCAGATGACTGGCGCTAAGAATGTTTAGGTTGCTGCTGCTTTTCAGTTAAGAAAGTAACCTTTGAAGATTCAACATACTTTGGAGTATGTCGCCTTCTGTTTGACCCCTCCCAAATCGTGTTTTACTGTGCAGTATTTTAAAAACCATTTGGTGCGATGGAATGTTCCTTCATGTCTATTTTTTTATGACCATATTTCACAAGGTCAATTCAGTTCCTAAATTTGCTCAAACAATCTTTTGTTTGGCCTCTCTAACTATAATAGCTAGTGAGCTGCTTGCATATACAAGCTTAACCCACCAGTCAGCATGACTTGTATCTTTCGTGAGCTCCTCAAATTGCAAATTGATTAGATCTTTACTCGAATACTCTTCTTCTCTCAACTGACCCCTTTTAGAGTGGTAGGTTCTCTGACTGATATGGCATAATTGCTTAAACATCTACCTTTGGTTTTATTAGAACAATGATAGATAGATTATCTGAATGTGTTTGATTTAAGTGAATATATAGTCATATATGGTGCTCAGTCATGGGAAAAGATTCATGTAGTCGCCCCTCAACTGTGAGGGTCGTTGTTTTTGAATTTGAAAGGTTGGTTTGTCATGCATCCAATTGCGACTCTTTCATCGATGATCTTTCCTTCTTAAACTGACCAATCTCGCCTACTTATGTGCATCGACCCTAACAGTGTTTTGAAATGCTATATTGCAACCGTCAACATTGCTTTGCACCACTCTGCTTGACCCAAATGGCCTGCTTTGCGCCACTCGCTCTGTGCACTTTTCACTCACTTCTCTTACACTTAAACACTTGGGTGATGAGTTGAAGTTGACCTGGATCTTTTTTCCAGGTCTGCGTATTTTGCAGAGCAGGCAGGACTTGTGTTTTTTTTTTTCAGCTGGGTCGAGCTCGGTAACCTATAGCTCTTGATAGAGAAGCTCGTTTTGTCAATTTTGTAGATTATTTCCAGCTTCCTCTTCTCATTACATAAAACTCGGATTTTGTTTTCTCTGCAGTGTGTGTATTAGTTTTGGATGGAGTGGAGAGGAGAAATAGCAAAGCTCTGTTGGCCCATAAGCTTCGGTCTAATTTGGAGCACTAAATTTTACATGTGGAGCACCAGCATTTTGCATTTCTTTTTTTGTCCATAGCATTGACCATAGTTTGACTAAAATTAATAATGAGAGGGTTATTAGTGTCTTTTAGCTCAATGTTAATGATTTCTTATTCTTTTATCTTCCATAGCATTGGCCATAGTTTGACTAAAATTAGTAATGAGAAGGTTATTATTGTCTTTAGCTCAATGTTAATAATTTCTTTTTTTTTTAATCTCAGATGTTATTATTGAAGTGATGAACAGGGGAGGCAACATGAGATTAAAAGGTAATATGCCTTTAGAGATTGATTAATTGATTGAAAGTAAGCGACATGAGATTGATTACCTTTATTTAGCAGAATTCAAAAAGCTAATAATGCCATTTGAAGAAGTCACCTTTTCTTGATATAGTATCTCCTAAGAATTGGGTTTTGATTTACGCAGAAGAACAAAAATAATTCATATTCCCATTATTTACTAATCCGAGGACCACACCATATTCTAATGGTAATCTGTGACAGCAGCACATGCTGTTCTGGTCTCACTGGTTTAATCTTTTGTGTATTTGTCTCTTCACTGTATCAGAATTCTTTAGTGTGATACTCTTTCTTTCAAAAGCTTTACTTCTTCAGCTAATCTAATGTTCACTGTTTGGATTCCTAGTTGGTGTTTAGAGAGCTACTGCTGTCTCGGTGTGCTAGCTACTTACAGGAGTCAGCATAACCACCATATGAAGTGTCACTTCCCAGTTCTTTCTCGGGGTCTTCGATTCGCACGTAGTAAGATACTACTGTCTATGTACGAAGTAATTGTCTTTGTACGTAATTTCAGGTCTGGGCAGCAGAGAAGCTGTTTCGAGTCGTCGCCTCCAGCTTCTACCGCAGTGTGGCTGTCAGGTTGCTCACAAATGTATATTTTAATGCACATAATAAGCTTTTATTAGTGGTTTGTTTGGATGAGGAGCTTCCAAAAATGAGTGGGCAGTGGAAACAATCTCCACCGACTCCCCCATATAAGAATTATCTTTGAGTTCTACTTAAATCAATATGATTATGGGCCACAATGATCCCTTTTTTTTTTATAAAACAAAAATGTATCACGTTAACTCCAAAATATCTACTAAACTCCATGGGAATTGCTTTATCCCATCTAATCAGTTTCTCACTTTTTCTAAAATATCGTATTGTAATCAATAAATTCTGAAAGCATTCCTCCTCGACACGTTTTAAATTTTAAAAAAATGATCGTTATTTTATTTCTTCGCACATTTGGAGCATAAAAAATATTATTTTTATTTATAATAATATACCCTAGAGATGAAAGAGAGGATATAGGGTGAAATGGGTCATCACGTTCAAGCGAGGGGGGCTTAAATGTTAAGCAAGACAAAGTGGCGGGTTGGTCGGGTGGGTGCACGACAACTAATGAGTCCAATGTAAACTAGGGTTTCCTCTTCACCTCGTCGTCCGTCCTCCAGTTTACTAATCCCACAAAAGGAAACCCTATATTCCCCATCCTCTACGTCTCCACTTTCCTCTTCCAACCATGTTCTGATAAAGCCATCTCTTCCATAAGAGAAGAGAAAGGGCAGCCCAAAACCTAAACCCACCCTTCTCCTTGATCGCTCAGTCTCCCTCCTCCTTTTAACTACCCGCTTCCGAGGAAGCGCTCGTCGAGTTGCTGTTTGGTCGTTGGCCATTATTGTCGTGGTTGTGTTTGATGGCGAACGCGTGCGAGGACGGAGCGCTTTGGCCGCCTTCGGAGTTCCTCCGCGGCGACTGCGTCCTCCAGGGAGGAGCCAACGCGGGCTTCGCAGGGTCTCGCTTTCCCTGTGAGTCCCGCCTAGGTTGCGATCCCGTTACAGAGAGCGACTACATGGCCAGGCTCTCCCAACAGATGGCTCGCTGCTTTCTCCAGCACGACGATGAGGTAAAGAAGCCGTAACTTCTCATTAGCGACGAAGCCATGAGGGGGTTGGTTTCCGCCTCGAGTCCGCTGACATGGGTGGTAGGGCATGGGGCGCTTGCTGCAGTCCGCGCTCTGCCTGCGGTCCGCGTCGACCAAGAGGAGCCCCGATAGCCCCTCGCTGGTCTCGTCGTCTCCGCTGGAGCAGCGGCACAAGGACGAGCCCTGCGACCTGCTCCGCGATCTCGGTCGCTGCCAGAGCCTTTACGACCACGGGATGCTTGGCCAGCCGAAGAGCACCACCGGAGGATACTACGCCTCAGGCCCGGTTCTCACCCGTCATCGACTACAAGCAGCTTATGTGAGCGTCTGATTCTTCATACCGCGTTCTCCACCTCCGATCTTTGACCTCTGGTGTTCTTTGCTAGTTCTATCACCTGAAGCGGCAGCAAATGATGAAACAGCAGCTCTGCGCGGCCTGGGAAAGGCAGAGCAAACCCGGACGGCCACTGGACCTATCTTCCTCCGCGTGGCCGCCTCCGCTGCCGGCCTCTGGGATGCATGCCGTCTTCCTCAACAACTCCAGGGCCCGGAAGGAGTCCGCCGGTACCGGCGTCTTCCTGCCCCGGACTGCCGACAACAAGCTCGAGCGAAGGAAAAGGGCCGGTAAGCGTGCCACATAGTGCGGAATCTAGCAGATTCTCTTGTCTTGTTTATCATTGTTCTCCGTGGCTTCTCATGTCTTCCTCCATGGTATAGGCTGTTCGACCGTTCTGGTTCCTGATCGAGTGGTGCAAGCATTGAACCTGAGGCTGGATGAGTTCGCAGCGCTGCAACGCTTCTCCGGTGGGTTCGTTCTGAGTCGTGGTAAGTAGACGAGTTTGTTTCAGCTCCGCGGGTGCTGTCTTCCTGAGCTAAGGAAATGTGTTCGACAGAGGCTCTCATCGGTCGAAGTGGGGCGGTGCAGGCACAGTCACATCAGAGAAAGAAACATCACCTCACCGCCCAGCGGACTCCCACAGCAAGAGCACATGAGATGGGGCTCCCCCAGCAGTGGACATACTGACATCACCTTCCTCGTATGTCGATGATGTGAAGGAGCTGTTGGAAAATACTTGTCTTAATGTAATCAGCATTAACTCCCTCGTTCTCTTTAGCGTGTCGTTTGTAGCCCATCACGCGAGAGGGCACGTCGCGATGTGAGCTTTGCCTCAGCGCTGCTGATGCTGGGCGTGTGATGGGTTGCCATGAATGCGCTGTGTACGCACGGAGGAGGCGGGCGCATCGCACGGCATTGGTTCGGTGCGTGCCAGCGCAAATGTCGAGGCTATAATGGCCTCTGCCCACCCATGTTGTCCGAGCCACTCGGTGCGGGAGTGTTGGACCAACAGCCACGGTCTTTTAGCATTACGATCGTGATTATGATATCACGTCGACTCCATCGCTGCCTTCACAAGTGTATTCGGACTGCAATGCTTTGTTGATCGTATAAGTAGATACTTATTGGGTCAGATTGTATACGGATGAACTCATCAAAAAAATTAAAATAACATTCTGAAGTGAAGAAAGATTAAGATCGATTATTATTATTAATTTTAATTTTAATATTTTGAATATTGAGCTTATCCGAATTAACGAGTGTAGTGTATTGGCCTGGGGAGATATCAAATTGCATCATTAGGATGTAACGTGTCATGACATCTCACTCATGTATGCATTAAGCAAAATTTCACTATTGGAAACCATAAAGCCTCACTCTAAAGCATGTTTTTTAGTACACTCGAAAGGCAAGATGTTCCACCGACAACCAGACATGCAGTATGGGCCGGCCTGGCGCCGAAGAAGCCACGCGCACCGATGCAGGCCATTCATGGCGTACGCATAGAGACTCCTCGTCGCATTGCATTGATGCAATTGCATTTGGCATTCCTTCCGGCTTCCTGTGCAGTCGTTACCATTCGTATTCATCTTGATGCCGGTGCAGGAAAAGAATCATGTTGCTGGTTCACCCATGTCTACTTGTCCCACGGCCATTAGCCGCAGGGCCATGAGGTTTGGCCTCATCCACCACCGCCTGCGTGATAGCATATGATCGAGCAGTCCCTTTTCTGGACCTTTTGATGGCAATGCATGTTATGCTGCATCATGGAATCAGCAGCTGCCATGATTCCTGTCACAAGGAGAGGGCATTGCATGTCTGCTGCGCCCAAAAGGCTTAACACACCATGTGTTGCAGAATCTGCTCCATCTCACCCTTTCTTCTCGTAGTAAATCCAGTGGGAGGAGGTTGTAGTCGCCTGGGACAACGCTCAGCATTTGGTCCCTCCCTGCTTTGCTGGGGCGAGCCACGGCGGTCTCCTCTCTCTCCTGCACCAATCTAAAGCAAAAGAAGAGAGGCTCTTCGGTGTCTATCATGACACCGTGCAGGCTTACACGATGGTCCCTCGCATTCATGTCCTTTTGGGAGGAAAGATTGCTCTGTTCCAGGCTGTGAGGTGGGAAGGGGATATGTTATTTCCGCTACTGGACGTGATGCCGATCGACTCGAAGGCCCTGCAACAAAGAGATTTCACAGCTCATCGCTGTTGCTTGCCTCCCGATTCTTCTCGATCATCACATAAATTAAGTAAATTGCCCACATCCGAGACTCCATGAGGGAGAAAGGAAGGGCCACAGCAAAAGCATGGAGGTAATAAAGCCACAGCATCCATGCAGTGCAGCTTCGTATTGAATGATGCATACATCGCACCACTGGATGTTTCCTGTGACTTGCCTTTATGAACCTCACGAGGAGTTTGCACGTACATGTATCGGACACTAACCACTGTGCCTTCTTGGTCTTCATTACCTACTGCAGCACTCTGTAACAACGACGCTGCGGCACGGGATGGCTGGGAGACTTGGGAGGCAGCAGGAGGAATGAACGAGGTACGAATCAAACATATATATTAAGAGCATCAGCGGATGCGAGGAAGGCTTTGTCGCAAACATCGCTGGTAGATACAGTACTACAGAAGCGCATTGCAGAAAGACAAGTTTGGTGGGCTTGGACGTCAACAAGAATGACACCGAATCCATCCTGAGATCCACTTCCCAAGTTTACTGTTCCCTTGCTGCTGTTTCTTCTGCCGCCGCCGCCTCCTTTATGCTGGGGTTCGTAGTGTAGCGGAAGCAAGAGCTTAGCTTTTCTGAGAGAGTGGCGCAAGAATGGGAGTTCGATGCTCCACATTGTCCCTGTGCTGGTGGCCGACCCACTTCAAGTCCTCTGTGCTCGAGCCGGATGATCTCGGTACCGTGTAGGAGTAGTACTGCTTTCCACTTTGGTTTATGTGATGGTCCTTGATTTGGTGTTGATGGAGTGCAGAGAACGGGGGAGGCGACGGCGACGGCATGTTCACGGAGTACAGCTTGGAGGAGCTGCGGGCCGCCACGGACGGCTTCTCGCCCGAACACATCGTCTCGGAGCACGGGCAGAAGGCCCCCAATGTCGTCTACAGGGGCCGCCTCTTCCCCGGCGACCGCGCCGTCGCCATCAAGCGCTTCAACAAGTTCGCTTGGCCCGACGCCCGCCAATTCCTCGTCGGTCACATCCGCCCCTCGCTTGCTCTTCTTCCTCTTCTCCCTGTCCCCCCCCACCCCCTTCTCTTTTGGCGATCTCTGATCTGGGGATGGTTGTGGTGGCGCAGGAGGAGGCGAGGGCGGTGGGGCAGCTCCGAAGCGAGCGGCTGGCCAATCTCATCGGTTGCTGCTGCGAGGGCGACGAGCGGCTGCTGGTGGCGGAGTTCATGCCCCATGAGACCCTGGCCAAGCACCTCTTCCACTGTATGTGAACAAGCAAAACCCTCACTTTGGCTAATTTATGGAATCATTTGGGGAAGAAAAACATATGATCTTACTACTTCTCACTTCAACCATCATTTATCCAACCAAATACATTTTTCTTGATCACAGTAAACCCTATCTTTTCCCCTTCTCTTTCCAAGACCAATGTCTGTCTCTCCCAGTCATCTATTCCATCACGGATGATGCATTGGACGGAACCAATTTGGTAGATTCTAGGGTTCTGATCATGAATGGATGAGTAGTACATATTGTTCTTGAATCCCATTTCTAGCTGAAGTGCCTTTGATGTTTTCTGGATCGACCATCTTGAATGGTGGTAATTGTTATGCTTCATTTTCATGTTTCTCTTGATCTATATCTTTTAGAATTGATGATTATGAGAGAGGAACTTCTTGCCAATTGTATATAGCTATGAATTACCATATGATGGCCAAGTTCCATAACTCAATATGGCAGGGGATACACAGCCTTTGAGTTGGACGATGAGGATAAGGGTGGCATTGTACCTTGCACAGGCATTAGAATACTGCAGCAGCAGAGGGCGTGCACTGTATCATGATCTCAACGCATATAGAGTTCTCTTCGATCAGGTGATATTATTTCTTTCTGCCAGCTTCGTTAGGTGCTCACATTGCTATCACTCGCTAAACATCGACATATGACAGGATGGTAATCCCAGGCTGTCCTGTTTCGGACTCATGAAGAATAGTAGAGATGGGAAGAGCTACAGCACAAACTTGGCCTTCACACCTCCGGAGTACCTCAGGACAGGTATACGATTCTAAAAGAGAGCTTTGAATTTGGATGTTCCTGATTTGGCTTCCTGATAACTTGGACTTGCTTGAATCCGGTTGTGTATGCTGTGGCTGCATAATACTCTTTTTTCTCAGATTTGTAATAACATAATTCCATAGAGATCTTGTGTGTTTGTAGAAGATGATTTCCAAATGCATCACCGCAAAACATTGGCAAATAAATTTTGTTGGCATGTCCATCCTATGAATTACATATGCAAGTCGATTAAATCCTTGGTATATTGTCGATAGTTGACAGATTTTTTTAAGATTAGATGCAGAATGCTCTACTTATTTTGTTGGTCCACCTCAGATCTTTCGATAAAATACTAGATTCTACCTGAATCTTATTTCACCTATCTTCCCCTTTTAAAATTTATCTCTTGAACATTATATACCACTTAATTAACAGTATAAGGAAGGCTTTCATTTTCTTCTTTGATTGTCACATGTACTACAATTTTCTTCTTTGATTGCTTTGGCAGGGAGAGTGATACCAGAGAGTGTAGTGTACAGCTTCGGAACACTTCTGCTCGACCTTCTTAGCGGAAAGCATATTCCTCCAAGTCATGTAGGTTCTTTCCTTCCCATGCTTCTCATAATTCAAACTACATACAATATCCATATACTCCTTATATGCTTTCATAAAGAAAAACATCTTTTTTTTTATAATCGAGATTCTAGCTTTTGTATTTTTGGTCGATTTAACTCCATAGAATCTGTTGCTAAATCTTGATGGTTTTCTTAATAGCAATCGAGGTATCATTGCATTTCCTTGTTTTTTATCTTGCTTTCTTCTATACGGGGATTTAACTATGCAATTGCACTACTGCTTTTCCTTCTTTCAATAATTTTAGATTTGAAATTATGTTCCCAGGCACTTGACCTGATCCGAAGTAAGAACTTCCGGACACTGATGGACTCTTGTTTGGAGGGGCATTTCTCAAATGCTGATGGGACTGAGTTGGTTCGATTAGCTTCTCGTTGTTTGCAATATGAACCTCGCGAGAGGCCAAATGTAAAATCACTAGTTACTTCTTTGGGATCGCTTGAAAAGGATGCAGAGGTAAGGCATTCGATACACATTCTTTCTTGAACTGAGGTCTCATTGCTGAAAAGCTGATTGTGAAAAATGCAATTTCTTTAATTGATTAGAGAGGTTTCTAAAGTTTACTTCCAACATTCCTGATCCAAATATAAGAAACTCAATGTCGCAGGTGCCTTCATACACACTGATGGGCATTCTGAATGGTCCTGTGACTTCGAAGCAAATGATTAAACTATCACCACTTGGCGAAGCTTGTGCAAGATTGGACTTGGTAGCTATATATGAAATACTAGAGAAGGTTGGATACAAGGACGAGGAGGGCTTAGCGAATGACGTAAGCAAACAATTATCATTTGCCTCTCTTCTTTTCAAAGATCTTTTTTTCTGTTATCATAGAACCTGTTGTTGGTCTTTCAGTTAAATCTGTCCATTGTTCTGCATGCATGTCATGAATCTTAATGATAAGTTATCCATGTTTTTTTCATTGCATTGATAAAGTTGGGTTAAAAATTATGTTCTTGCATGTCAGATATCTGCTTGTTGTTTAAAGTCGAACAAAGAAATCATTATAATTGCTCAACTGAGCACTTTTTTTTTTTCCCGCGAAACCAAGTACAAGTCATATGAAAGTTTTACAAACTGGTTGTGATTTCCCCATCATAATCATGATGATAGTTTCTTTACAAAGTTGTGTGGTTTTTTTTTATCTGTTTAATGTGAAATGGCACTACCTTTTTCCAGTTTGCCATTTAACTGATCATTTGCCAGTTGTTTCTCTGATAATTCTTTTCTGATACATGTGACTACTTCTCCTTCTGCAGCTGTCTTTCCAAGCCTGGACCAGCCAAATCCAGGAGACTTTGAACTTTAAGAAGCATGGGGACAATGCTTTTCTAGCTAAAGATTTTGAAACTGCAATCGATTGTTACACACAGGTAGCAGTCAACGAGTTTAACTATTACACTATTTTGCGGAAGGATTCTTCTATGGTTTATATTTCTTCTTTCAGTTAGATATTACAAATTTCAACGTTGTTTCGGGATTTTGTAGTTCATTGACGGCGGAACAATGACTTCTCCGACCGTGTTGGCACGTCGATGCGTATCGTACCTCATGAACAATATGCTGCAAGAAGCTCTGGGAGATGCTATGCAAGCACAGGAAGCATCACCAGAGTGGCCTACCGCTTACTATCTTCAAGCTGCTGTCCTTCTCAGCCTTGGAATGGACAGCGATGCCGAAGAAACGATCAAACATGGTGCCAAGCTTGAAGCCAAGCGGAAAACCAGAACCTGATATATAAATTATCATGTGATTTATTGTCATATCTTTTTTCTCAATTTTTTTTACAATTAGGTATGTTTGTCTACTTTTTCTCGCTTGTCGGGATGTGAAAGCTGATTTTCTTTGTATTATGTTCGGAAAATCGAGTTGTATTTAAGAAATAGAGTTGCTGCCATTGATGTGTTTGTTCAAGAGAAAAGAGCTAAATATCGATAATTAGCAGGTAATTAACTATTATAATATGCCACAAGAGTAAACAATATAGATTTATTATAGTACACTTAATTAAAAAAATATATAATATTCAGTTGATGTTCATATGGTCCAATTGATTGTGCTTCCACATATAAGTAATTATCATGAATGAATATTTTCCTATCAGCTACAAGAGATTGAGTTGTAGTTAGTTAAAATTATTAAGTAATTATCATCACCCCTATATTATCATAGAGACAAAGAAAGAAAACGACCACAGCAATATGTATGTGGAAGAACACAAGTCAACGCTAGCAATATGTACGTGGAAGAGCACAAGTCAACGCTAGCAATATGTATGTGGAAGACCACAAGTCAACGCTAGTCCATATTTTATTCACAAAATATCATAGTCCATTCTCGAAACAAAACGCATGACAACCTGCGATCGCACGACACGATAGTTAAAGTCGCGATTGGAGGGACACACACTCACGACCCCTTATTCACGCTAACACACAGCAAACATTCAACCGGAGATCTCGATGGACTTGGCATTGGGCTTCTTGACCCCCTCCTTGGGCACGGTGACGGTGAGCACGCCGTCCTCCATGGCCGCCTTCACCTGCTCCACCTTGGCGTTCTCGGGGAGCCGGAACCTCCGGAGGAACCTGCCGCTGCTCCGCTCGACGCGGTGCCAGGTGTCGGTCTTCTCCTCGTGCTCGCGGCTCCGCTCGCCGCTTATCTGGAGGACGCGGCCGTCCTCCACCTCCACTTTGACCTCCTCTTTCCTCAGCCCCGGAAGGTCGGCCTTGAACACGTGCGCCTCCGGAGTCTCCTTCCAGTCGATGCGAGTGTCAGCGGCGAACGCCGAGGCTGCGCCGGCGTAGGAGGAGGTGGGGAAGGGGATCCGGGGGAACGAGAGGTTGGAATCGAAGGGGAAGCCTTCGAAGGGGTCCCAGAGGTCGAGGGAGAAGGGATCGAAGATGTTGCTCCGCCGAGGGCCGAATCCGAAGGGGGTGAGCGACATCCTTGGTCCGATCGATCGCAAGAAGAAGGCCGGTGATTGGGGACAGGGACTACCGATGGCGGAATTCTGAAGCTTCTGGGTGGGATTGAAAGGGGCGGCGGACGCAGGGTTAAATGTGAGCATGAGAATGGCTTCTGGAGAATTCCTCAGCCTTCTGGTGAGTTGGCCCATTCGTCGGAGCGACACAGGACGAGGAACCGTCGAGACGAATCCAGATGGGCTGGGCCGTCATATTGACCCAAATCAGGCCCACATCAAATGGACGTCACAATTGGTGAGATTTAAACTCTCTCTTTTTAAGTAGAACAAATTAAATGACATTTTTAGTGCTTCATTTGTTCCTCGGATTTAAACTCCTCTTCCTTTTATTATCATTTCCTTTATATTTACTGTACTAATATTAGCATCGACTTATCTTTCTACTATGTTCCATTCCATCTTCGTTCGAGTCCCTCTTCCATCTTTCTATCAGTTCCCTTATACTTCTCTTCTGAGACTTTTGCTGACTCTAACATTTGTCTGTTCTCAGAGCCAGGAGAGAATATCTTCATATTAATCAAATGCTGACATATTAATATCTACTTGCTTGAGGAAGGAGCTCAATATCTTCCAAAATGGAACGATGAATAATTTAGGTGGGACCATCTCAATATAGGTATGTTAGCTTGAACTACAATATGCATTCTACTTGAAAGGAGACATACATAAATAGGGAAGCTATTACACCTTAGAAAAATATTCTTACTTATCTCATTTATATTTAAATTTTAACTAAATAATAGAAAGGATATTGTCAATTCAACATTATCGCCTTCAAACTGAAAAAAGAAAACAAAAACTATCCCTCTATTTCTTTTTTTAATCTCAATCTTTATGTAGGTGACACATAAGACAATCTCTAGGGAGCTTGGCGTTTCTACTTTGGAGGTATCTTGAACAATCTTCTCACGAGCTCAACATTTTCATCTCGAATATATTTCAAATAATCCTACACACATAGGTTTGAACCATGTCGAGCTGACCCGACCGTCAATGATAGATTTTCCGACTCGACCCCTTCAAAACTCAAGCCAAGAGTAGAGTGGAATAAAGAAGAGTTTCATGGAATCCAAGCGAGTTCCTTGGCGTCGACTAGGTGGTGGGCTTTATACCTGCACATGGGGGTCGATCGTACTTGATTCGTTAATAGTCGTCGATCCCTTAAGCGGCCAACCCATATCTTCTGTGTGGATGTCGGTCGACTTATACGGAACAATCCCGAGCTTTCTAAGGTGGTTTCGTACCCGACGATACCATCCCGAGTTTTTTGGGGCAACTTCATACCCGACAACGTCGATAATTTTTCGAGACGACTTCGTACCCGATAGCATACCTTGCATTATCCCCGCATGGGAGGATGGCTAAGTTCGAGGCGTTGTGTCGACGTGGTCCATCACCTCGGCTTTTAAGTTCCACGTCGGTGCTGTCGTGGCTGTGGACTACTGCTAAAGGGCGTATTACCAAAATGTGCTCTATCAGGTATGATTAGTAATTTTCATCTCAACAAGGACTCCACACACATGAATTGCTGTCGCAATTGGGGTATAGATCAGGATACTATTGCACCTCGGCAAAAATCGAGCTTTTATCTATCGTGTTCATCCCCTCAACATATGAATAAACCACTATGCTAGTTTAGTAGATGGTGACAAAAGAAATTAATTCTCTCATTGTAGGTTCACTCTGTCATCACAATCAACTAAATAGAAATAATATACTTTATATCATGGCAGGAGACATCCTCTAGCAGAAGATATTCTTTAATAGCATACTATTACTCATTCTTTGTATAGCAAATTATAGTAAGAAAGGGGACTAAGACTCTCATCTACTGGACCGGACATGAAAGAAAAAAAAATATTTGGAGCTATTTCTAATCCTTTCTTCTTTTTTTTCTTCTTCTGTTCTTACTTAATAGAGTTCGAAAAGTTCTATCCTATGTAATCAAACGATTTCTGACTAGAAACTTTTGATGTTTGGGTGTTCTAGCCTATGTAATATATATTCTAATCCAAATGAGCTATAGGTAAATCACCTTGGTAAAAGCCGAGTTCAATCTCCATACGTAGATAAATCACTATACTAATTTGATATATGATAATTAAATAATAATAATATTTTAGTAATAGTGATAAGGTCATTTAGTTGATCACAATGCGTTGAGAGTCTAAGTTGAGAGTCTCAACTAATGTTGTGTTGAGAGTCTTAGTTGATCACAATGAGTTCCCATAATATTCAATTAATAGACTAAATAGTTCTCCTAACATCAATCTGTACGATTTTGTGAGCTTCAAAAGACACCCATATGGATAAGGTCATTTAGTCTCACATTGGTTGAGAAGTATGAGAATCAATGACTCACTCATAAGTCCGTTAGGTCTTCCTTATCCATATGGGTATCTTTTGAAGCTCACAAAATCGTACAGATTGATGTTAGGAGAGCTATTTAGTCTATTAATTGAATATTATGGGAACGCATTGTGATCAACTAAGACTCTCAACACAAAAGAGAAACACTTTTAATTTGTATACATTTCACTAATTTAACTAGAATCTAAGGGATTTATCGTGATTAAGTCATGATGAAAAGAAGAAATAGAAAGAATTATGTAGATGCGGAACACTTTCTCTATTTTTTAGCCGCAAACTATAATTCTTCATCATGACAATAAAAGAAATAAAAATGATTCTTTAGTCGTAGATTTATTTCACTAAAGTGAAATAATATGCTTTATATTATAGAAGATACAGATAATATCATTTAATAGCAAACTATTATTCTTCTCGCTTTATGAAGATTTGTGTTTATACAGTAAGTGAGAGAAGACGGAAAGAAAAAGACTTGTTTCAATCACATGTGATTTGACTTATTGGGATAAGCTACTCGATGTTGTCGTCGACGGAGACGTCTCATAGTGCAGATTCCATAACTCTTGCCGGAGGAGAACAATAAGTGGATGGGTTCCTCCTCACTGTTGCCTACTGAGAAGTGTAGGAAGTTCGATCACAAAAGAACCAGCTTTTAATAATTATTATTATTATGTTTGAACAAGCATTATTTATCTATAAGGTTTATTGAATATAGCATGCCATGAAAATTTTAAATAAATAAAAAACCTTCTTTAGTAGTGCAAAATAATAATATTTTTTAATCTGTATAGATTTATTTTGAATTAATATTAAGAATATACTAATATCAGATCTTTCTGTTTCATTTCAAATGAGATGTGTGATACGAGGAATTGATTCTTATATTAAAATAAATTGTTATCGTATAAACTTTATTTTTAAATTTTTATTTAATCAAGAAATATATATTTTTATCGAACTATATTAGAAGTACATGTAGATCTATCCATCCATAAAATATAGAATACTTGTTATGATATCGTTTAGGTATTGGATAATTCAATTCGAATAATTTTCTATCTGACTTGAGCCGATCGATCAATCGATCGAAAATCATCCTAATTTTTATTCAGGACTCACATCGGAGAAGAGAAAAAAAGACATAAGATGTGAATGTCCTCTTTATTATTCATGTTGGGATGGATGCTAAAAGTTTGACATCTATTTTGATACACGTCTAATGTATGTAAAGGATATTATGTGACGGTTAGAATGTTTTGTGAGTTCCGTATCTTACTAATTTCAATGTTGTTAGTGAACAACACGGTCTGGTCCACGGGTCGATATTGGGAGTCTTCTATCTGCTGAGCTGGATGTCGAGGTCGACCAAGCCCTCGCGACGGGGTGCTGATCAGCGTTCCTTGGTGTGCTGATCCGGGCGCTGTGTATACCGATCTGCGTCTCTCCTTCTCCGGGGTGGTTGACAACTCGTCTTCATGAGGTGGTTGAGTTTTCCTACGAAAATGACCCTCGTCGGGATCACCCGACGAGGCCCATCCGACGAGCAAGTCAGTTGAGTGATCGATTCATTTTTTTCCTTCTCTTCTGGCCAGATGCTGGCTAGGGGTCTTTATATTACTGTACGTGGGTCGATCGTATGCAAGTTGGCATGGTGGACTTGTCGAGCAGTGCCTTAGTATGGATTCTGACTTGACGTGTCTTGGGGACGACACTGTCTCGGGGCTCCCGAGGTCGAACAGTATCTTAGTACAGATTCTTATTTAGCGTGTCTTGGGGGCGACGCTGTCTCGAGGCTTCCGAGGTCGAGCAGTGCCTTAGTACGGATTCTGATATGATGTGTCTTGGGGTCAAAATATATCATATCAAATGTAATTTATTTTTCTTTCAGACAAAAAAAGAAAGAAAGAATATTATTGATGATGTCATAAATAGCTTTACTATATATTCTCCTCATTGTTTGTTTATAAAGGAACGGGGGGAAAAGGGAGAGCGGCCACAGACTCCACCAACAGCCTATCACAGCCCCCCGACGTGTCTTCTCTTCCTTACTTCGCATTTAGATCTCACCACCATTGGCAACGGAATATATCGGAGGAGGAGGAGACGAAGGAGCCAATCGGCTTATAGATCCACTGCTTCCTCTTTCTCTTCTCTTCTTTCTTTCTTTCCTCGGTCCGTATACCCATCCCAACCGACGGCCTCCGAGTTCAGCCAACGAGAAGAAAGGTCACGTCTTTGCGTCTCCTTCTTCTTCTTCTTTGTGTGTCTTGTGGGTACTCGTGATCTTTCGAGCTGCTTCAATTTTTCTCTTGTTTTGCTCCTTTGGAGTCTCTGTGTTGGCCTCCTCTTGCTCAGTTTCTTACTCGATTGACCTGCAGAACAACGTTCCAAGGGCCTTGGAAAACCTCACCTCGAATTCTCTTGAACCCTCTGTCCATATATTTGCGGTTTGTCTTCTTCAATTTCAAGTTGTCAAGACCTTTTCTTTTTCCTCTTATTCAAATTGTTTGGGCTTCTTGGTGTGTGGTCTCGACTCCGTTTCTCTTGAATTTGCCTCCGGTTGCTTCTTTCTGCAGTGGAATCTAAGCTCGAGTTTCAATCTTGAGCTCGGGGGAAAGGAGGGCAACATCTGCGACATGACGACAAGGTCGTGGATGGAAGTCCTTCCTCCGGCGACGGTGCCGTGTTACCCCAGCTCAAGTTGGTTCATTGGCGAGAAAATGAGTGGGGGCGGCATCGGAGGCGGAAACTGGACCCCGGAAGAGAATAAGCGATTCGAGTATGCCCTGGCGAAGTTCGACAAGGACACCCCTGACCGCTGGGAACAGGTGGCGGCGTCTATCCCCGGTAAGACCGCGTGGGACGTGGAGAGCCACTACCGGGATTTGTTGGACGATGTGAGCGACATAGAAGCCGGGCGGATCCCATGTCCTGGCTACGACTCTTCGTCTTTTACACTGGACTGGGAGACCAATTACGGCTTCGAAGCGTCCACGCAACCTTACTGCATTGGTGGGAAGAGGTCAGCAGCGCGAGCATCGGATCAAGAGAGGAAGAAAGGAGTTCCCTGGACCGAAGATGAGCACAAGTAAGTCGCTCATAATCTATTCGATCTAATGCTCCTATTGCCAACTTTGTCTTATGATGCCTGATTTATCCTGTTATATAGTTTTGATACTGGTGGTGCTCCTACCGTACCTTAGCCTGTTCTTTGAGATTGTAGAAGGTGTCAGGTAACGATTGTGTTGCTTTTGCAGGCGCTTTCTGTTTGGTCTCAAGAAATATGGAAAAGGGGATTGGAGAAATATATCTCGGAATTTTGTGATCACTAGAACCCCTACCCAAGTCGCTAGTCATGCACAAAAGTACTTCATCAGACTTAATTCAGGTGGCAAAGATAAGAGGAGGTCCAGCATACATGACATTACTACTGCCAATTTGCCTGATAATAGGCCTCCTTCTCCATCTCAGTCATCCGATCCTGCCACTCAGACAAGCTTGGCTTCTACACCGCTACCGTCGGCCCCATTCTCATCGATCCTTGATTCGAGTCATCCCAATGAAGCAACTACAATTGCAACTTCTTCGGTGCAGGGGAGTACAATTCGTGCAACCAAATTATGGAGTGACACCTTATGGTCTGCAACTAGAAGATCATGCACCTCGGAGTGGCACACTCGATGCTACCGTGGTTCAGGACCATGATTTGCTATTTGAGATGCGATCGATCGAGTCATCGTCGCTGCCATGGATGATTAGTTATAGTCCAACTATCCGCTAAACAAATCATCTTTGGATGTTTGTTGAGAAGAAAGGATGTGATAAACAATCCTACAGAGAATCACAAGATTCAGAGAAAAATCTGAAATGCATCCAGGCTCGGAGAAGGTGAATGAGGGTTGGTGATCCTACTGTCCGAAGAGAGTTCAAGGATACAAAATTGGAGCTCATTCCTTGTTTTCTTCTTCTTCTTCTTTTCTTTCTATAGTATGTATCATGGGTATTATACACTACAGAAATAATACTTGTACCTGCATCAAGGCAGTGTCCTCACTCTTACTGTTTGTGATGTGCTTTAATTTTATAAGCTCTGCACAGCAAGAAGCAAACGTGAATCCTTTCTTCCTATTCCCTGCTTAAATTTCAAATTTGAGCATCAAAAAATCGAATCGAAGATCTGCACTACACCTTCAGGTTGATTGGCCAATGCATGTTCTGAACTGTCTCACACTGAAGCTCTTACCAGGGAATGATTGAATGCATGTTGTCTTTGTAGCTGGAGGTTTCCTGGTCACTCTGTGTGCTTCCTTTTACCAAATCAGACATGAGCTTGTATGAGAACTGATTCTGTTGGTTCAGTCTGTGTATCATGCAAAACCAATGCCAAAGATTCAACCATACATCTCTCAATAGAGTGTGGCTGAGTCACACTGCACTTCTTTTAACATTGCAACTTTGCTGATGGCCATGAATGGTGATACTGATTCTGTAGCCATTTTCTTTAACTTATTGAAAGTCCCCTATTGCTTTGTTTGTCTCATCTTTACCACTTGACTAAGGTTGGGGCTAAGTCTGGACTCCACTAGCTTGGCATCTCATGCTTCCCATCCATATCCTCTTCTTTTCTTGAGGTTCTATTCCTTTTCCTTTTGAACGTTTCCTGGCGTATATAGTCTTAACTGTGGATCCCTGAGTACTGCAGGTTGGTAAGTGGGTGCTGATTAGCAGATGCAGCCAAAGTTGTCTTTGTCATCACATGCTAATTTTTCTGGGAAGCTTGAGATAATCTGAGGAACTCTCCTCAATTTGAAGTTGATATTTCCAGCATCAACCTAAACACCCAATGCATGCACATCAGAAAGTTCTCAGCATTTCTGAATACTTATGCTTCTACTAGAATTCAAGTTCTATTTTCATGATACCAGTTTGCACTCTCAATTTCTTCTTCTTCCCAAATGAGAAGCCACTGAGAGTTACTGGTCAGCTGGTGCTTGAGAAGCTACATGACTGTTCCACACAACAAAGTATCCGAGGTACCCCAAGCAACAGGGATTCAGGATGCATATATTTGAAGCTATCGATGAGTATCTCTGCCACAGGCTTGACATTGTTCTCATAGAACAAGCACAACCCAGAAGCACTACTATGTGGTCTGGAATCCTCCATTGGACATGTTCCACTTCTTTATGGAGGTGGAGTTCATCTGAAGATTCCAAGATAACCTAACTCGACATGTAAAAGAAGCATGTAGAACAGGGATGGTTGGCCCACAGAACAGGGATTTCTCTGACCAGAAATCCAACATTACACCACCGAGTCTACTATTAATCAGTAGATCTGAGTCATGTACCTGTTGTAGCTGCCACTGCTGCTGTGGCTGAAAGCCTGCAACCATGGGCGACGAAGTTGTCGTCTGCGCGCAAGTCACCTGCGGTGGCTCAGACGATACGAGGCATTGGCACTCCACTTTGTATCGGCACGATGCTGCCGACCTTTGCCTGCAACTTGTATTTTAGTGTTTGATGTGCGTGCCCGTAGGTTGATTGTGACCGCCATGCGTGCATGAGCTTTATGCTTGTGTACATCTTGTCCTTTCCGTATCTATAAAGGAATTTTCCATTGGTAATCTATTTTATAACCTTTAATATTCCTAACTTAATTTATCATTTAATTCTAATAAAAAATCCTTTTTTTATTTCTTTCTTTTCCTTTTTTCTCTTTGAATATGTTTGGCACTATGTCAACAACTAAGATTCCAAAAATAATTGAAGGATATATTGTTAAGGTTTTTTTGTCGGCGTAAATAATAGTAATCGAGGGGTTATAAAAAAATAATGATATGATCGATAATTAAGATATTATATTTAATAAATTATATAAAGTAAAATTATTGCCAATAGCAATCTCTATTATAAATAAAATATATATATTATTGATATTATAAATAAGGTTATAAATAAATGGGGGACGATAGAGTGGCCACAACAGAAGCCACCGAGGACCCGATCACAGCCCAGCTTAGTTGGTTTCTTACGTTGCCTTCACATCTCACGACAGTGGAAACGCACTATATCAGATAGAGGAAGAGAGCTCCAAGTACAGCCATCCAGACCGAAGGTGTCATCATTCTTGCTTCTTTCTCAGCTAGAATCTAGCTCGAGTTTCGATCTTTAGCTCGGGGGAGAGAGAGATGGGCAACATCTGCGGGATGATGGCGAGTTGGTTCCTGGGCGAGAAAGGGGGCGCGGGCGGCATCGGAACCGGGAACTGGACTCAAGAAGAGAACAAGCTATTCGAGCATGCCGTGGCGAAAAGGAGGTTCGACAAGGACACCCCTGACCGCTGGGAAAAGGTGGCGGCGTATATCCCCGTGAAGGCCGTGAGGGACGTCGTGAGCCATTACCGGGACTCGTTGGACTACGTGAGCGAGATAGAAGCAGGTTGGGTCCCGTGTCCTGGCCACGACTCTTCTTTGTCGATGCAGCCTCCATGCGTCGGCGGGAAAAGAGCAGCATCGGATCAAGAGAGGAAGAAAAGAGTTCCCTGGACCGACGAGGAGCACTGGTAAGGCACTCGTAATGTGTTTGCGTTAATGCTGCTCATATTGCTGGTGCTTGAAGTGTATCTGAGTTTGTTCTTTGGGATGGTGGAAGGTATCGGGTAACAATGGAAGTCTGTGTTGCCTTTGCAGGCGATTTCTGCTTGGTCTCAAAAAATATGGGAAGGGGGATTGGAGAAATATTTCTCGGAATTTGGTGACCAGCAGAACCCCTACTCAGGTGGCTTCTCATGCCCAAAAGTACTTCAGCAGACTGGAAGATAAGAGGAGCTCCGGCATACATGACAGTAGTACGGCCAAATTGCTGGATAACAGGCCTCCTTCTCCATCACAGTCATCTAGCTAAGTTCATCGGCGCAGGGGAGGCAATTCGTGCAACCAAATGATGGAGTGACACCTTATGGTATGATGCTGGAAGATCATGCACTTCAGAGTGGCACTTCTCCTTTATATTTGAGATGCAATAGAGTCATCATTCCCACCATGGATGAGATACTATTTCTCACTGGCCTCTAAATAACTCACCTTGTGCTATCTATGTCATGGCATTGTCCGCTATAGAAATAAAAGATGTACCTGCATCAAAGACAATATCGTCAGCCTTGCTGTGTCTGATGTGCTTTAAATTTATAAGATGCACACAGCAAGAAGCACAGATGAGTCCTTTCTTCAGTTGCACTGCTTAAATTTCAAGTTAATGACAATCAAAATGTAGCAAAGGTCATTTAAACATATGGAGATCCAAACGGTTCTCAATTTCGATATATATGTGTTACATATCGGTATATGAATTATCCTCTACAATCAGTGTTTTGATTCGTATTGGATGATATAGGATCTATACTAAATGGTAATGAGCAAAATCTAATCGTTATCGAGGTATACTGATCAGTACACCCTGAATTTCAATCATTACCGAGGTATATTGGTCGATACACCTCGAATTTTGATCCTTATTGAGACGTACTAGTCGGTATGTCTTGATATTTTTTAAACAGTTACCTTCAGGCATCATTAGAGATTTTTTAGCTTTTTTTTTAACGTACTATCAGTATATCTTGATGTATAACTCGACATACCATACCGAGCAGGGCTCGATATATCGCTATCAATCGAAATTGAAAACCTTACTATATCTTTGTACAAGTAGTAGTACTATCTTTGTACAAGTAGTAGCAATATATCCTCCATTGGATAAATTCCCCTTCTTTATGGATATGGAGTTGATCTGAAGAATCTAAGATAACCAATTTAACACGCAGAAGAAGCATGTAGAACAGGGATGGCTGGCCCACAGTATTAAGTGTTTTACCAAGTCCATCCCCTCTGACCAGAAATCCAACATTACAGCACAAAGTCTACTCTTCAAAGCTCAGCATATTAGATCGCAAAGTCATGTACGTGCTGTAGATGACACTGTTGCTGTTGTTCAAACCGATGTTGATGCTTTGGCCGCAAGCCTGCAACCATGGGCGAGAGATTCGTTTGAAGAAGTCACCTGTAGTGGCTTATATATATATATATATACCCACAGACGACATGCAGCCATGCTCGTCACTCTGGAACTCATATAAACTATCAATCCGAATACAGAGGCATCACCGACTGTGGGCAATCTGTTCTTCTGCCAGCGAGGGAGTCGTAAGCAAGTACTGAGCCTGACATTCGACATTGCACCTGTCTTCAGTTTCATTGTCAGCAACATCCTGTCTTGGAGGAACAAATTCTATGTTCCAGAACGGACGGGCCATTGCCAAAAGGTCACTATCACCTGGGGTTGCCCTATGCCCCTGCACCCACAAGTATCTCAAAGATGGTAGCTGCCGTAGCCAACGAACGCTCACTAAAACAATAACTCAGCTCAAGCTTTTGCAGCGGCGGGCAACCTCTTGAAAACACCAGAATTCCAGCATCAGATTCCCCAACATTACCCATCAGTATCCACCGGACATTGCAACCATACTCACCGATGTAACCAAGAACTACATCTGAAAGACCTCCTAGCCTCAGATAAAGTGCAAACCTCCTAAGCTTTGTGCAGCCTCTCAGCAGAGCACGAAGACCATTGTCAAGGGATAATTCTGTTATCCTCTCTTCTCGGTCAAGCAAAACAAGCCGGAAATCACAGAGGATTTTGCGGAAATTACCAAGAGATTCCAATGCCACATTTGATATATCTGAGGCATATACTGCCAAGTATAATAGTTCTGGACATCCCTGAGCTAGAGTCAATAACCCTACTTGTGTAACTCGACCTTGTTCATCCCCCAGGCCTTGGTCATCATCCCCTCGCTCTATTCTGAGCCTTTGCAGTTTCTTGCATGTCTGAGCAACAACCTCTAGTCCTCTGTCTCCAATCACATTCCTCACCTGACAAGAATTAAGAGCTGGAATCAAGCTTCTCCAAAGTAAATACTTACATGATGAACTGTAACAAAATTTGATACTTATACTAAAAAAAAATTGATGCTTAGGAGAACCTCTAGATTTGGACACCATCGGAGCAGCTGACAGTGATCCTCGGTGCTGAGAAACATGTATTGCAAGTCCAACTTCTTGAGTGAAGCAGCAAGTGGAAATAACAAGTGCATCTCGTTTGTACCCAAATAGATGAGGCCAACACGGCATAGCCTCCGAGGAAACTGAACTGTGTTGTACCTGTTGACCTCTCCAACCTGATCATTAAATGAGCCCCCACCAAACTCTTCCAGCGAAGTTGCTCACTGAGAAAACCTAACTAGATCAGAGATGTCACACTCACTGATCTTCAGCGAAACCAAGGATTTGCAGTTCCTGGCAAGTAGCTCGAGATCCTGTGGTGTGACTTTAAGCTCTGTCATGTAGAAATTCAACATCTCCAACACAGAATTGTTGACAGCAATCTCATGAACCCATCCATCGTCATTCTCAGCAATTGAGCTTTCTTCCAAGAACAGTGTTGTGAGGTTTCTGCAAATCAGAACTGAAAATCGGTAACATTTGGACATGTATGCTCAAAGAGAAGATATTATGATAGGATATTAAGAAAAGCAGTGATCAATTGGGAAGATGCTGAGTAAAGCAAAATGCCAAATGATCAGTCACAAAAAAATATAAATTTTCATTTATGACTTTGATACAATTGTTATTAGGTCTAAGACTGGCCGTAATAAATGAATGAAAAATTAACAAAAGTCATCCATCTTCCAAAATTTTGCATTTTCAGTTTCCTCCATCATTACTTCCTCATGGTCCACAGCTATACATTTTTCAGATCCAGAAGTTTCCAGTCCACTGAGAAGGATCTTTTGTCTCCTAGCTGACACTGCATGTCTCCAGAAAGCCCCGCTGGTCCTCTTGTCACATATGTTCAATCCTGTAGAAGACTAAAAGGAAGCAACCTTGCCAGAGGTTTATGAATGTATGGATAAAGGAACCTAAGTTTTCAAGTATCGATCTTCGACCAGACCTTAAGTTAGTGCTCCTCCAAGAGACTCGAATTTTCTCATGTTCATTGCACATATCCTATTATTTTATACAAATTATGCTTCCTTAAATCTTTTCATGTTTTTTGACATTTCTTTTAAATATCCATGAAAGTTGTCAACTGTATCCAACAGAAAGCCATGTATGCACTCCATCCACCTTACTTAATGCCTAGAGAGTAACTACTAGACATACAATCTCCTAACTGGTACAGTTGTAAATGTACTTCACATATCATCATAAATCATGGAAACAATAGATTTTTTTTGCAAAAAGCTATTCATATAACAAATATGGCATGGCACTCTAATGCAACAGAGAAGTGCTAATAGAAAATAACCAGCTGACTACAAAATTTCAAACTGATCGTGATGTCTTGACGATAGACAAGTCCATATGGGAGCTTGAGAATTGCAGCTGGCACATCACAGAAGAAAAACATATCACAACCTGAACTATTCCTTTTTAAAACTGAAACCTAAGCTACAATGCCTTTGTGGACATCAACAGGAAATGATCATTCAGGACGATATAACTTCACGAATAAAGATATTTACTAGGCAGTTCAGCTTATTTATCTGAAGATTGTGTACATTTCTTTCAGAATTCTTCTTGGTAAAGAATCAACATGAAGTTTAACTAGTGAGACGCCACCAACAGCACCTAGATTACCCAGCCTAGTGATAAGTCAAAGTGGCTCCCAAACAAAAAAAAAGTAGTAGATAGATAAAATTACTTCTCACTTATATGGTGCTTCTGTCCAAGTTTTTTCCTTGGCATTGCTGCCCTTTTCAGGGTCTTCCAACTTTAATCGGCTAAAGTTACCAAATCATATAGCTGGTAAAGATGGGAGTACTTAATGTACCCAAACCACATTGACTATAGTAATAAAAGCCTCAATTCTCAAAGTGGGATACATTAAAATGAATTTGTGTTACCAAAGTGGAACCGCTTGCAACTGCAGAAGGTTCAGCACAAAAGAATTGTTAATTTGTTTAGTTATCTTTAAAGAATAGAGCATGATTTTGCACATATCAAGCAGATAAGATCAGCTTAATCAACTTAAGCTTGTTCATTTAAATAATCAAAACCAACAGGCACATCAAGACAAATTGACTTTTCAAGTACATCACAGATAAACAAGCAATCAACTTATCAAGGGCCTTGAACTGCGAATGTGGATACGCAAGGTATTTGTACACATATCTTCCAGTATAATGACAAATTAAGGATATAAGAAAAATCAAAGGAGCTTCTTACTAATCATTCAAGTATTCGGTAGAAGATAAGTTGATTATTTGGTGAGAAGATGTTGCAGCAGCCATTAAGATACAGGACAATGATAATGGACAAGCTTTATGAAACAATTTGAACTTTGTATATAGTTTTCCTTAACAAGAAGAAAAGAAAACTATTTCGGTGTGACGAAGAACAATCAAGCATCAAAATCAACATTAATATGCAATTCATCATGATATAACAAGTCAAAAGCCAAATTCTTGCTGATCACTCCCACACTTTAAGAGGACTTGCCATTCCGGTTGCTTATATTTATCTACACTAGTTGATTTAACTCTAAATGATTGGATTCAACAGTCCCTAATCATATCACACTTGAGAGCAACATATATAGAAAGATAGGCCTTAGATACAAACCACATTGACAGGTGAGCTATCACCAAGTTTTGTTACCAATTTAGGATATCAAACATCAAATTAAGCAATAAAAAGATTAAACAAGTATGCAATCAAGAACTAAAGAGCACTAGATTTTCTGCTGGGCACAAGAGTTCAAATCTGGAGGTTAGCCAAGACCCAAAATGCTGTCTACAAGAATCAGGTGAGTGTACAAGCAATCTCCCGCTACAAGGGCGAGAATATACAATCCATTGCATTCCACAGGGCACAAGATAAGGCATAAATGACGGCACCATGCACTATTAACGTGATAAATAAGACAGAGATTAAATGAAAAGAGAAGATAAGGCAATAACAAACGTGATGTCATAAGCCAAGAAAGACCAGAAGGTTAAAGAAGCAAACAAGAATAGTTCGTTCCAACGGAGGGCGTACTTACTTGCAAGAACGGGCGACCAGTTGAGGCTATCCATGGAGAACTCGGAGCACTTGTCAAGCTTAAGCGACTTGAGCTTGTCGCCCCTGGCCCTAACGAGCACGCCAATGTCGTCGTCCCTAACAATCATGCGGCGGAAGTAGATGGTCTTGAGGCAACTGAGGGCCTCAGCGATTCCGTGGACCCAGGGGCCGGCGTAGCCACCCCAGTCCTCGGGGATGAGGTTGAACATGGAGGCACGGGGCTTGCCGTTGAGCTTGAGGGACTCCAGTTTGGGAAACCTGCGGCGGACCCGGTCGGGGCTGGTGGAGTAGCAGATGGTGATGGTGACGTGCTTCCGCGAGAGGGCGTCGACGTGGTACCACCTTCGGCACACCAGCGAGATGGCCTCCCGGTCGCGAGGGTCCTCTATGTACCCCATCACCCGCTCCAACTCCGTGTCCGGTATCACGAAGCTCCCCACCTTGCTCCGTTGCTCCATCCTTCTTCCCCACGCCCTTCAACCCACACAACCCAGCACCCAACCAACAAAGGATTCACCGACCAGATCCGCTGCCAAAATGCAAGTATCTACGAAGGAGGAGGCAGACTCCAGCACCAGATTCCCATTCTAACCTCTCCGATCTCTACGACAGCAGCAGACGACGGCAATGAGATCGCGACGGGGCGACCTCGTCATCGAGCCCTAAATTTCAGGGCATTTCACCCTCTTTTTTCCTCCTCACAGTGGATGAACGAAACGAAAGAAGCAGAGGAGAGGAGGGAGGAAACAAAATAACAAGCAGTGGAAAGAGGAGATGAGATTATTATGATGACCCCTTTTTACATCTTCATCATCGTCACCAATAATGTAGTCGTGGGAAACATAGTTTATTATGATCACTCTCGAGCTCACACTCGCATTGCACGTGTGGTGTGTAGTGGCGGCAGACTAAAATTATATGTAAATAAGAAAAATAGATATTGATGTTGAACTGAGAGTAAATTAGAGTGTGCTTCCGTAGTATCACAGCTCACAGTGCAGGCAATCCCCTGCCATTCCGCCACGCAAACGCTTGCAGAGAATTTTACGTCATCTCCGTTTTCGATCGTCGACTCAGCGTGTTTTGTGGGTGGACTTCAGCTAATCAATTTTGAAGAAAGTCATGAAGAACAAGAAACCAATAAGCACTTGAAGAAAAGAACTCTTCACTATAACTCAAACAGTGTTTTGATGGGGGATCTGCTACCTGAAATCGACATGAATCAATCTATGTTATCATGCATTAACAGAGGGATAAGGTTGAGAAAAGAGTTCTAATAATAAATCGATTGGCAACTAGAAATTAATGACAAGTTAAGATCGCACCTTGTTAAGCCAACAGCAAGCAAACCTCAGGATTCGACACAAACTAGATGCCAATTAACTCAATGTTCAAAATACACAAGATATTAACATGTCTGCGAGAAACCAATTGGACAACAAATTTCCATGGAGTTAAAAACCTCATGAGAATGTGAAGCTGGAAACAATGAAACCTACATCAGTTACAGCTTATAACTATGACAAACTGCAAGAAGCAACTATCCAACCTGCTTCATGATGTAAGATTCTGATGCCCCCTAAAACAAGCTGAAAACTTGATTTGTATCAAAGTAGGACAAAAGTCTTTGGACTCCGGCACATGATAATGAACGTGATTTGTATGATCTTAGTTGTCTCCTGAAAGCCAACAAAGAAAGAGTTCCCATCAGATCGTCATTGCGCAATCAAATACTATATTCTAAGATCAATGTTTGGTATAATGATTCAATGGGGATTTTCTAAGCTGTCCCTGGAATTGGACAGCTTAGAAATTCCAATTAACTGTCTGAACCATGGGGATTTGAATTCCTAAGGCAACACCCCCGGGACAGAGCTTCGTAGTTCCGAGATAAACATAAAATCCCCCAATCAAATACAAAAGTAAAACAGGTTGGAATTAAAAAGATATAGCCAAACATGAAAAGATGTTTCTAACAAAACTTGGATCAACACTTGCATTATTTAAAGAAATCCTGGAGTTTCTAGCCCCCGTAACAAATAGGGCCTAAGGGCTTATATATATATATTAGCACTTCTGTATACCAGAACTGAAACTCCTATAGACCATTCATCACGTAATTATGTTGCTATGATTTTATTTGCGATATTTATACGGTTTAACTGAAAGGGGAAAAAAAAAACATTCCAGGGTAAACATGTAGAAAAAGAAAGAAAGCAAACTAGCTTATGAGTTCAATATAAACCTGCAACTCTAGTACTCTAATTCTAAATGATGGCATTATGTGATGAGTTTGGGGATATTAAATAATCATGTATTGAAAACTAGAGTATATCCGACTAACATGCAGCCATGACAAGAAGGATCCAAGGAAAAGAAATAATCGACTCATCAATTTATTTTATGGTTAGGTCTAAGCAAACATCATATCACCAAAAGGAACTTCAATATTATAATGAAGATTATTTGACAATTTCAAAATGTATGTTTAGAAAGATAACTGGCTTATAAATAAGAATATCACATCTATTTTCTGATAGGCTTGTCGGAAAGTTGGTTTTCATCTGGACCATTCAAACCGTATCGCAAGTTGCTACCTTTCTAGTTTTTCTATTAACATAGCTTCAATTAATCCTAGACAAGTATTTAATATAGTTCGACAATAAAGCTATAGAATGCAAACTAGACTACTAGTTCAACACAATTATGTGCTGAAGGCATTAAGAAACAGCAATTCTAATGTCCAATGATGGTTACATATATCATGAGTATTTAAACATCAAGTAGTCATATATTCAATCAGAAGATTTCTAACCATGTCCAGGTGCATCCTAGTGAGTAAAATGTATATCTAATTAGCACCTATCCACGACTAAAGGATTAGAAGAAAATAAAAATTCACTTATCACTGTGTTGCTATGTCTAAATGCCACCATTTATAAACATCTTACTTCCAAAGGGAAGATTCCATGTTATACTTAAAGAGACCATTTGACAATCTGATGAGAAGATTTTAGAAAGATCATCCTACTGTCTATGTTGTTTCCTTGTCCGACCAAAAGTGATGATAAGGGCTTATTCTGTCTTGTAAAACAAATAACTTTCAGATAGTTGCTGTTTCGGTAAAATTCTTCGACAATTCATTTGAAGATCCCTGCTCTGTTAGCTATATAAAGTTTTAAATTCCATTTAAGAGAAAAGAAGGGTTCATAACTCGCATTAACAATCTAGAGCCAAAAATATGATTCACTGAACTAGTAGAGACAAAACGATTAGGGGTTCTGATGTACTAAACTAACCTGCAAGAACAATCTCTTCCTCCTCTTCTTCTCCATCCCCCTCCTCTTCCGCATTTTCCCCATACATTGAATTGAGATACTCCACAGCCGATTTGGTGAATACCAATTTCTCTGAGTCGAGAATGTCAAACAGGTTGAGCGTTCTGGGGGTTAGCAACTTGATGGTCCCAATGTTCCTGCAGGAGAGCAGGACGTTATCCGACACCTCCGTCAACAGGAACATGGCCTTCCGCTTGGGGTCGAGCCCCCACCTCCGCATGGCCGCCACGAACTCCTTGGTCTTGGGCCCGGCCTCGAACTCCTGGCCGAAGTCCTCCACCACAAGGGCGTCGGCGGCCGAGGCGGCGCTGGCGAGGGCAGTGGACAGAGCGAGGCGCTTCTCCTTGCGGTTGATCTTGACGCTCCAGTCGCGCGGCTTGGGGCCGAAGACGACGCCACCGCCGGGGCGAAGCGGGGTGCGCTGGGATCCGCGGCGGGCGCCGCCGGTCTTCTTCTGGGGGTAGGGCTTCTTCCCTCCACCGCGGACCTCGCCGCGGGTGAGGGTGGAAGCGGTGCCGCGGCGCTGGTTCTGCTGCTCGGCGACAAGGCCGCGGTGGACGACGGCACGGGCAGTGTCGGAGGGGGCGGACTTGAGGTCGAGGGGGACGTCACCCACCTTCTCCCCGGAGAAGGAGAGCACGGGGATGGCGGCGAGCTCGCAGCGGACACGGAGGCGGACGGCCGACGGGGCCTTGGCGAGGGACACGTTAGCAAAAGAATGGGAATTGGGTAAGAAGAGTGGAGAAGCGACGAAGGAGGAGGAGAGGGAAGGAGTTGTCGCACAAGAGATCCGCATCTTTGCCCTACCCTTTCTCCGCTTATCTTTGCTACGCTTCGACCTGGCTTCGCTACTGGGTTGTGGCGGAAGAAGGCTATCCCTTTATCCAACCCATTCCAATACCTTCTTGTCGTAATTACCCGGAAATTTTCGCATATATAGATAATAGATAATATTAACACGAATTTTTATAGCACGTGAACGACACGTGCGTAGGTACACGTACCGTAGATATACGCACGGCCTTTTCTATAATAATGGATTTCTTTTCTCTTTTCATCTTGCATTCAGTACACATCATATATAAATATGCAACATAAATGTTTCATAGAAAAAAATAGAAAACAGCCATGTATTGTGATCATCATACTACAATTAAAAAAGTTAAAATTAAGAGTTTGATAGAGATTACATCTTCAATCAATTATCATCCTTCACATGACTTATCTATCTACGTGGCCAATTATCTAAGGTGAGCAATTATGCATTGACCCTTTATTGTCCGTATGACGATCAGAGATTATCTTTCTGTAAAATATTTCATATAATATTGTGTCTCTTAACGACCAAGTATAAAAACTTATCTCTAATACAATAAAAGAGTGATCGTCTTTCGATCATCTTTTTGACCACTCGTGTCTATACTTACATATCTTAGGTTACTAACTTGGGTATCGAATGGATCAGATTGGGAAACCTCTTTTAACCTTGGTCTTCGTATAGGTGATACCTCGGGAGCTCGACATTTTCACCTCAAAGGCACATCGGACAATCCTACACATACATATATGGACCACATTAGACTGACTAAGGCGTTAACCCTCTCAATGAATGCTCAAGCGATGAGGCTTTGCCCTCGACCTAGAGTATTTTCACCCAAGGAGGTAGTATCCATTCTTTATGTATATTGACGCATCCACCTTAATGCAAACGTCGATGCAATACTAGCATTTATTCAACGACATAGGTTTCTCACCCCTAGGGATGACCCTGAGCCACCTACTCATCCCACCCAAGTTATTCTTGAATCTCACTCAACAAATGCAAATGTTAACGGACATGATATATGTCATCACTCCACTTTTACCCTAGTTAACCCAACAAGTAATACCACCAGCTCAATCACGATCAACGGCTCAACTGCCACCAGCATCAACTCCCATCAAGGTTCACCCATCCAACGTGGTGCCAACATCCCAAGAGCGCCCAAGACTTGTCGAACCACCGGTTGAGGGGGCACTTTAGTCCCCAATCATATAATTTAATGGATCGCACCACCACTCTACCCTAGCTGAATCCGAGACCCAATCGATGGATTTGACGAAAGATTCCTTGTAGATCCAACTACGACAGATGGACTAACGTTTAGAAGAGATACGATAAGAGTTCCAACAATCAAAATGAGAAGTTCTATCCCAAAGTCGACAAGCATAGCCAACCTGCATGGACGCTATTCGTGGATGGTTTTGTCACCTCAAATGGAGGCAATACCGGACTCATCCTAAAAGGCCTGAACAAACAAATGTATGAGCAAGCTCTTTGGTTTGGGTTCAAAATCTCCAACAATAAAGACGAGTATGAAACACTTCTCTCGGGACTTCAGCTCGCCCGAAAGCTTCAAGTCTAGGACCTGACAATGTTCAGCAACTCATAGCTAATCATGAACCAAGTGAAGAAGAACCGGAAGGCCCGAGCTGTAAACATGGCAAAGTACCTCGTCAAGGTGCAGAAATTAACCCACAGCTTCTCCCGACTTAATGTGTTATGGGTCCTCGGAGAAAAAAATACGCAAGCTAATGCACTTGCTAGATTAGGATTGACCTGAGCACTGAAGGATGGTTGGACATTGGTCGAGCATTGCCTGCCCAAACCATTAAGAAGCATGATATGACTATAGTCGAAGAAGAGCCAAGCTTGATGGATAAGATATTGCAGTACAAAAAAAATGGAACATTTCCGACAAACCCCACATTGGTTAGAAGAGTCAAGTATCATCAAGCATAGTATTGTATAATTAATGATTCCCTATATTGCAGGTCTTTTAGTCGACCATTCCTCATTTACCTAACACCCCCAAAGGTCGAGAGGGATCCAAAGTACAACATCTAGTTTATCCGACACGTCAAACTTATATCTCTTTGATCCATTGCAGATTTGGTGCCATGTCGTTCGACACGTCTAGTTCATCATGCTCGAGTGTTGCTAGTGGCAATCCATCGTCGACATACTGCTCATATCGTTAATGGATCCACCTTAGTTAGATAAGGTCGGGTTTCCCGACCTCCTCGTCTCTTCCCAATCTGGTCAGGTTTGTTGATTGCTACAACTCGAGTAGAGAAGGGGGTCAGGTTTCCCGACCTCCCCGCTCAAGCGAAGGCAGGGGTTGGGTTTCCTGACCTCCACACCTCGAGCATAGGCGGCGGTCAGGTTTCCTGATCTCCACGCCTCGACAATGACTACAAGCGAAGGGGGAGGGGTTCAGTCATCGCTAAGGCATAGAGGTCAAGAAACCCGACTCCCACCTTCACCCGAGGCATGGAGGTTGGAAAACTTGATCCTCACCTTCATTGAGGCGGGGAGGTTGGGAAACCCAACCCCCACCTTTGCCCAAGGCATAGAGATCAGGAAACCCTACCCCCTCCTCTGCCTAAGCCATGGCAGTCAACTAACTCGACCAAGTCGGGAAGATACGAGGAGGTCGGGAAACCCAATCTCGTTCGACCAAGGTGCATCACTTGATGATATGAGGGGCTCAAGCACAATGAATTAGACATGTCGAACAAACTAGATGTGTTATCAAATCGACGATGGATAAAAAATTTACAAACTTGACATGTCAAATGAACTAGATGCCACATTTTGGATCCCTTTCGCAAGAGCCCCGAAGCAAGCTTTGGGGAAGAAGATAAATGATAAGGAGTACGTTGTCAGTCAATTATCATTTGACACATGACTTTTACATGATGTCTAAGGTGAAAAGAGAAAACGAAATCCATCCTCCACATGTCTGCTCACATAGGCAAGGAAGATCCAAGACGGGTAGTTATGGGTTGCCCCTCCCTTGTCGCCCACATGGATAAAAGATCAAGAGAGACTGTTGGTGGCGATTAAAACTTACTTCCTGAAATATTTGACTCATTTATAACTATGTATAAAAGCTCATTTTCAATACAATGAAAAGAATGATCATCATCTTTTTAATAAATCAAATTAAAAAACTTCTCTCGACCTCAATCTTTATGCAAGTAGCACCTCAAAAACTTGACATTTTCATCTTAGAGATACCTCAAATAACCCTACCCACACATGTCTAAATAGTATTGGGCCAACAAGAACATCGATGACTTTTTAACAGAGTTTACTATGAGCTATTGCAGCAAAAAGTCAGATACTCGTTGTTCATGAGAAAAAGGAAACACAGATCATGATTGAAGAAATTTCTAAGACAGTTGATTAAATTTGAAGTTGGATGATAGCCAAAAGAAAAAGCACATCCAAATCCAAAGACTTCCACCTTATTATATTGTACCTAATCTTACCTTTGTTTGACACAAACGTTTAACCCAATGTCACATAAGATATTACACTCCCATCTGTCATCAGGGTGTTCCTACTGTAAAATATACTCAGTATTACCTAAAATATACATTATCAGCTTTGCAAAATGGCAGAGCTAATAGGAAGCTTAGCAATCTGCATTGGTCTTGGAAATGTGTGGTAACAGATCATACAATTCATTGAATACCTACTTCCACATGTAGAAGAGACTCAGATGATTAATACATTTGTACCATAATGCCACCAACAAACAATCCGGACAGATCAAATTGGAAGTACTAATATTATCAGGTCGGGCCAAAAATAGGCATTCCTCGGCTACTCCAGTAACAATTCATAGGAGAGACTAAAAGCACTCACCTTAGATTCCACATAATTAGTCAGAATGTAACTTTTCCGTTTAGTCATCTGGTGTTGGGGACAGCAGGAGGGCACCTGCCCCTTTTATCACTAGTAATCTCATCTTCGATTTCACTTCCATCGAGACCGAGCATGTTATTATTGACACTTTGTTCAGAACTGACTGTGCTGCTTGTGGCCAGAGGAGAGTCCGAAACACTGACTGTTCTGCTTCTGGTGGCTCCTGACCTCACACTATAGACGGATGATGCTGGAATGTTTGCCATCAATGGCCTCAAACTGTTAGGAACACTCCGCCTTATATCCTGCGTTTGCAAAGATATCCAGTCATGGTTGCATCATAATTCAGAAATTTGACCATTAAAGATGGATAACAATCTTGGAAAAGCAGGATGTTGTGGCTAAGTGTAGAGCAAAAGATATGAAAGATGATATATAAATACCATGTGCCTCAACGCCATGTCCAGTGATTTCTTTGACAGAGTCCTCCCAAAACCAGCACCATCTGGTGAAAGAGAAGACTTGCCAGAGAGGTTATTATGGCTTGATCGTTGGTCATCTTGCTTTGGAGGTGCAAGTCTTCTCATGTTCACTATGCGTTCAACCATCTTATTTCCAATTATAACAGGGTTCACATTGTCACTGCCACTTGCTTGTGGTCTGCTTGATGGTGGAACAGAAGTGCCTTTATGAACACTACCGTTTGGAACCCTCCCTCTGGATGGAGAGCAAGACTGTCTCCTTGGACGGATGTTTGGCCCAGGCTCAACAGAAGATGATCGACTGCTGGGAGCTCCAGGTCTACCCCGAGAAGCTGAGGAGGGTCTCTCAGGCAATGATGTCCTTAAATTTGGGGGTGCATCCAGAGAAAAACCAGGGATGTCTGTGGGTTTCAATGGTCTAGGTTTTATGGTTGGAGAGCTTCCATGTGGCGGCACTGAACTTTTAGATATTGTTGGACCTGACTTCGTGACAGAAGATGATCTACTTGATGGAGCAGAACTGGATGATACAGTAGATGGCACAGAAGGTCGTCTTGTAGGGGTAGCTGACCTTGATGAAGGCTTGCTGACTACCGGCAGTGATGGCCTAGATGTCGGCGTGGAAGATCTAACAGGTGTTGACGATCGTGGTGGAGCCAATGACTTTGACGGCAAAGTTGTTCGAGAAGGGGGAGTGGAAGGTCTTGTTGGTTTTGAAGCAGCAGGTAACGTTGGACGTCCGGTTGGAGTTGCAGGTCTAGATGAACTATGAGTAGTACCACCAGATGATGATGGTCTGCGGGTTCCAATCGCAGAGTTCAAGCCAGATGATGATGCTGGTTGCCTTGGTGCCAGTGTGCTCCTTGAAGGATCTGGAGAATTTGCTAACTGAAAACACAACATTATAGTGCATAGAAGTAACATCAGAATAAAGCAATGCACCAAAAAAATTCATTGTAGAAATGTATTTGCATAAAGATTTGCATACATAAACATTGTTTCCATAATAAAAAATTGTCCAACTGTGATGGAAGAATAATTCCACCAGCACATTGGTTGGATTTGAAAAGCAAAAATGGACAACTTGTTTGGAGTGAATAAAGAAATTTTGACCATAACTATAATTCAGCACTTAAAACAAATTGACATGTATGGCCAACAAAGAAATTCTCTAATCATGGCATTTAATGTCAAAATGTTAGTGAAACTGATTTTCAGTCAGATCAACAGGGAGTTTTGAGGAAAGAAACATCAGATAAAAGCCAGTTCTGAAAGCTATTTGTTTATCAAAATGGAATGCAAAAAGAGTGAGAGAGAGAGAGGGATGTGATTATCAAGATTTGTAAATCTTTCTAAAATATAATTAACCATGAAGCTATAGGAGTACTGGTTAGGAACATCCTGATTGATCTTTATATGGTTAGATGACTTCCAAGGCCTCAGGTATAAGCTAAGAGAACAATTTAGTTAGTGAATTAAGCAAGAACTTGGATATGCAACAGATGATTCTTGCACAGCCCTTGCTTCTGATTGAATGTGTAGACACTGGATTACCTAGAATTTGTACAGATGATTTCATTAACTCATGGCACATCCAAAATTGAGAAGCCTGATAAATAATAGTTATATAAGTAGAGTTAGCGGTTTCTAGGACATGGAGGAATCGTAAAGAAATGTTCAATGCTCTATCATGAAAGCTGTAGAAGGAACTATGCGAAAATGGACAATGATTTACATCTCTTCCACCCATAACCTACCAAGTTCACACATTGATGCAACTGCTTGAGGATTGAGTCCTATATTTTAATTACCTAACATTTTAGGTTTTAATGGAGAAGCAGTTTTCTACTAACTTTAAATGAAAGTTAAAAGTTATACTAACAAGATACCAATTATTGAAGTTGGGCTCAATTATTTTTCTTTGCCATTCTTTTCCATAGAGTTGAGCACCTCAACCCAGCATAAACAAAGAGAGAAATTGTAGATGGTTTACTGGTGCAACATATATCCAGAAAGCTTATTGTAGTAATACAAATGTAAAAGTAATACTAGAATATGCATCAAACAAATCCATGGTTTCTTGTGGGTCCAGATTCACATTAACATAGGCATGGAATCTGCTATGTGCAAGCTTAAGGAGATACATAGTTAGACAGCTCACCCTAGATTTCAGCACCGTGGGGCGAGCTTTTGGAGTCCCAGTGCTGCCAGCAGGAGATCTTTTAGATTCAGTATCTAGAGATGGAAAAAGTGGAGTACCTGGTGGCGTAAGAAGCCTACAAAAAGAAAAAAAAAAATCACATCATAAAAGTTAAACAAGTAGTAACTACCCAATTAGATTATTCTGAACTTAGCTACTTCTTCATTGTATTGTATTCTCATCATTTTGTGTTTATCAAATTTGCATATTAAGAAGATCATGCTATCATATAAAATCATAAAATCTGACATCAGAAGTTAACAACGTCATAGTGCATTCAAGCTTACAAAGCAAATAAAAATGTGTTCAGGGCAAAAAATATATTAATTTCAGTATTGTGCAATACTAAACATGAAATTAATATACACCTACATATCTACAATATATGACCAATGTACAAATTCTTATAAATAACATTAACTGATATTTTGATAACTATCTTCATCATTAACTTAATATAACTCCATCCAAGCAAACTATTATCTTCCATCCATTCATATGAATAGGCTGCCAACAGGACTGGACACATACCTATATCAGAAGCATGGATCTTCAGGGTTATGGGTTAACAAGTCATATGTAGATTGGGCATCGAGGTCAGGTTCTAATTTCAGGCCTGCGATACTTTACTAATTATCAGTGACTCGCCATGTTAGAATATAAATGATATTTATCTATTATCTTAAGGTGGTAATATGCTATTGGACCAGGAAGTCCTCTGTCTTAAGCTTTTAGATCAGTTGGTGCTCAGTTAAAAATCTAAAATGACACTTAAGCTACTTTGCTTTCTCAGATGCGTGGGGAAGTATTAGAAGATAAATAACAAAGATCTATATCATCAAGCAGGTAAGCTTTTAGATGTGTTGGCAATGGTTAAAGCTTTGACATGCATGCTTTTGTGTCAATCCTCCAGCCTATCTTTTAACATGGAATTGGTGGTGGTTTGAAGTTTAGGGGAAGATATGAAAATTTGAAAACAGTCGCTATGGTTCAAATATTTAATTGCTTATCATGAAGATACATATACGACACAGAAGAGACATGAAGTGCAAATATAATTTACAAATAAATAATCCTCAAAATTAGTTTAGGTTAACAACATATACATATTAAGAAATTAGTTCTTCAGAATAATAATTTAGGATACACAATGTTGTATTGTCATGGACTTAACTAGTTTTGCCTAAATCGTGCGGCACCCTTCCATCGAACTTTTGAAATGCAAGAAGTTTTGCCTTAAAAAATCAAAATTTCGCCCTGACTTAGAGCAAGTCTTCAATAGTTCTAGTCACCTTTGGGATTGTACCATCTTCCCTATCATTTTTGTCGTCTACTCCTCTAAGTAGAAAAGGTACAGCATCGCATATTGCCTACTCCGTTCCTTGGTCGAGTACTCTTTTATCGACCCAAAGTTTCTCACTTTTAGCTATCTTGATAAGAAGCTTGTCGACACCTGTCTTACGAAGTTTCCTGGCCTCTGCCTTTGATCTTGTCTCGGTACTTGGAGTTTGCCTCTGCATTCTCCACCTCCTCAGCCCCTTTCAGGACCAAGCACTCTACCTTTATGAGAGCAAGGGATCGATGACTCCATAAAAATCCTGCCTAGACGGTACCATAGCATTGTCATGCCCATGGCCCTACTATCTATCGTATTGCATCTGCATCCCTTTCTTCGCGATCGGTTGATCCACCTCTATAGCACTATAACACTCCTTTGAGTCCACCTCCATTTTACCAACGCTTGGTTTTAGATAACTAAGTCCCTCTGGGCTCTTCATCGCTTCCTCGTCCCTTTCAACCACTTGCTTTAATACCTTTGTATTCTCCGAGCAATTCCTTTTGGTCGATAGACAGACAGACTACAACTCCTATGAATAGCCTCTGCCATCATGTTGTAGGGCTCGCACCAATTCTATTCTCCTTTGCGTCCTTGGTAGCAACTTTTACTCACTCGGCCTTGTCTTTCGACTTGTCGGGCTCCCTTAAGTGAATATAAAATTTAGAGCAATCATTCTGATCATACCTCTGTATGATCAAGTCTCTCTTATGGGACTCATTGGTACTTACACTCGAAATTCTCCCTTGATGGTACATAACCCTCATATACTGATGATCAAGACTTTTATCTTGTGCAAAATTCGATGCATGCATGAAAGACCTGCCTCTGCAATATAATGACATTTACTCCTTAAATTCATAACCCTTCTTATCGTTATGTTGTTCACCGAAATGGAGCTCCTAATAGCTCCTGATCATGCCTCTGTATGATCAAGTCCCTCATGAGACTTCTCTCGTGTGTGTCACATTGCTTCGAATTGTTCCACCATGTCGTCTCCTAGTGGCATCTTCATTACATTATGATCTTTATGTGATAAACTCGAACTACAATCTCTACCTGTGTGGCCTCTGCCAACACATCGTAGGGCCTCTGTCACCTCTAATTGTGTTTGCTCATTTGACAATCGACCTTCGTCCACTCGCTTTTGGGTCACACCCAGACGAAGCACAACTCTAGGACAATCCGTCACCTACCAGCTCTCGAAGTCCATTGACTTCACTGAAATTAGTGCATCATTGTCTAAATTCTGGGCTCCTACCCCCAGCACAATCTCCACTATGCACCGCTTCCTTTGTAGCAATTTGAATGGCAGCACTACGGTATATTCTTCAAGAGTACCTGCTTACGCATCCTCTTGCCCCGTGCCAAAGCCTTCTAACCCCATCTTTGCCTCTGCAAGTTGAGTCGTCTTAGTTTCTTCGTTAAATGTTTCGCCAAGATAAGGTGCATTTGCCTCGAAACTCCCTTTGACTTTGGCACCTTACAAGATGAGTCCACTCCATTAGAACGAGGGACCCATGGAACGACATGATCTCGCTCGTCTCTGCAAGAGTTCATGTCCTTGACCTCCGTTCAAGGAAAGCTTTGTGTCTTCTCTCCATATTCCATCTTCTATATCGACTCCCTTTATGCAGCTTGGGCACTTCACCAAATTCCACCCAAGTTGCTCTGCTCCTCAGTTTGTTTTGAGTTGATGGTGGCCCTCGCACCCATCATTTCACGGCTAAGTCCTCCGTTGAGTTCAATCTCCACATCGACTCTGAGTGTGCGTTTGTTTGATGTTATCTTGGGTCGATACCCCACTTGATCTTGCAATGCATCCACCAATACATTACCTTGTGCAAGATCATGTGATGACTCATCATCGTTCACTCGGTCTATTAAGCTTTTTGAAGCTGTTGTCTTGAGGTACTCATTCTCGACATGAGTAGTTCTCTGTTGAGTCTGCTCTCCACCTTGACTCTAAGTGTACCTTCATTTGGTGTTACCTTGGGTCGATACCTTAGTTGATCTCATAATGCATCCACCAACGCATTGCCTCGTGTGACATCATGTGACAACTCCACACTGTTCGCTTGGTCCATTGAGCTTTTTAGAGCTATTATCTTGAGGTATCCCTTCTCAACATGAACAATCAATCTATACATATTATTCTCCCTTTGGAGAACCAGAACTTATCATTCTTGGATATGTCCCGTTGGAGTAACTTTTCTCTTCGCATCCTTCCCTCTAGAAGTTTTGGAGACCACCATCCCTTTGGACTATTCCGCCTTGTTGAACAAACTATGCACTATTTCACCTCCTAAATGCACTTGCCAAATTGCGACTCTTCACTAGTACAGCCCTCGCTGCGCCCCTGAAGGCCTAACAACATGCTGAACTTATTGCACACTTCAACCTTCTACGAACGTATCCTTCCCATGCCAGAGAGAAAGTTTTAATGCTTCATGGCGTCAAGTTTCGATCGCCATAGGATGGACACAGATAGCCCATCATCCGCATACAAGCCCTTGCACGAGAACTGAATTCTTCGAGTTAACAATTGTCCTCACCTCTGTGAGCTTTGCACAGCTCTTTTGGTCACTGAGCAACCCATCCCTCCTTGTACGATCTCATCCCTTGCCAAGCACCTCGCTTGCCTTAAGCACTATCGAGTTTGGTTGCCAACATCAAGTCGTAGCTAGAACTCAGGCTTCCCAACTTTTGTCCACTACGTATTCTTCTCAGCTCGCTTGTCCTCGTTGTGTCTCTCGCGCGAAGAGTTAGTCATTCCTCTGAATGGCAATCTCGGATGTCTGCTCCTCTGAGTGGCTCTTTTCCCTACATCTCAACACCTATTTCCCTCAAACAATCGTGCGAGCTAGCTGCCCTCAACACAGCCTCGCTAAGTCCCCCACGTCTACATACCAAGCGTTTCTAAATGTGCTTGTCTCACTCTAATACTATATGTCACAGACTTATCTGGTTTTGCCTAAGTCATGCGGCACCTTTGCATGTCCGTCCGCAAAGAATCGGCCTTCCCTAAACCTCTTATAGTCCCTTAAGGACCTAGAAAATAGAAGACGGGTTAAAGAAAACATTTAACTCGGGATCACACACCCAGTCATTTGAGCAAACACTTGATAGATAATACAAATTACAAACATAAACTTCGCAAGCTCTGAACAGCCACGCGACAAATTGTTCAAGGTGATCTGCCACGGCCAAAAGTCTCCATAAGTGCCCACATGGCACTATTGCGGAACAAGGCAACGAACCAACCCTATGCACTACTCCAAAGGCCTATTCAACCGTGTCCCACTCGGGTAGCTCCTTGGTGTTGTGCTAGCTGACAGTCCACACCACTCAACGGAGCTAGAAAACCCTCAAAATGATTAGTTTGTTTCTGGGTTGTTTTGTCTCTACGTGACGATTACACACAACCTGTGTTTATAAGCCTGAAACGGCTACAAAAGCCAACCAAAATAAGACTGTCAAGCCTACTACAAGTCCTTTACATGCTATACAAAGCATCAACAAAACCAAAAGATATGAACATATACATGCATTACATTGAACACCGTATTTACAGTTTTGTCTATGACAATATGATACTAAACAATCTGAATCTTTGAAATTGTTATTGAGTAGTCGGCTAGCACAAGGAACTAAGAATCGTGGAATGAACACTAAATGGTGAGAAGAACCACATTTATTGGAGTATCCTAGAGTTCCTTGAGCTGAGTAACAAAATGCAAACAAAGGTTTTCCGTTTTTGGATTCTAAGATTCATAAATCTAAAACAACATTGGTCATATTTAAATGAACCCACCACTGGCATGTTTTGACAATGTCCAAAAGACGCCACTGTTTTTAATACCGTATATGCCACAATCGAGCTTCCAGATCGTTTCCTTCAAACATATTAGTATGCAGACATAAAAATTATGGTCATCCAAAACTTTTAAGACAAAAGCATTTTGCCTCCTTTACAAGACGTGCCTTATGAAGAAAGCATTTCACAATATGTTAGCATAGTGATCCTAACACCTCAAGATTAATAGCGATGGCATTGGCAAAAGGAAAACATTTCACGGAGAACACGATGAATAGCCAGAGAAAGGTGCGAACAGAAAGAAAAATATTGAGAGGGTACCAGTCATAGTCATTCTTTTCACTGTCCGAATTCAGAAAGTCATCGATTCCAGCCTTGCGCGCCGGTGCTGATGAGGCGATCTTGAATATGGGAGCAGTCCCAGGTTTAGCCCCTACAATGCAGGAAACATAGAAAAGAGCGGCCAAAGTAAACGTATTGCTAGCAAGGAATCTGCAGCTGACGGCCGAGAGAGGGTAAAAGGAACAAAAACTGGTCATTTCTTCAAGAAAGGAAAACCTAATGACGACATTACCCAGAGGCGGATCGAGCTCGCCGGCGCCGTGCAGGAGAAGGTTGTTCCGCTCCTTCTCCAGCTTGCGCATCTCGAGAAAGAGGGCGAGCTCCTCGTCCGCCTCTTTCGTCACCGTTCTCCCTGTCGCTGCTCCTGCCCTAAAGCTCCGATTCATTTTTCCTCCCACCAGGAAGCAACCTCGTCCAAGGTGGAATCGCCAAACTTAGAAAGAAGAGGGCAGATCGCCACACCAAGCTCGCAAATGGGAAGAATGCAAACGGTGGACACGGAGCAGCACAGGAATGCGACGACGGGAGCAGCAAAGAAGAGAAAAGGGACGCAGTGACTGCGGAAACCTAGCTCCCTTGACCGCGCCCCCGCAATGGTGAGGACGCCATAGGACTAGGGGTCGAGGTCGGCGAGCTAGCTCGGATCTGGCAGATGGTGACGGAGAGGAGGAGGCGCAGGGGGCACAGCGTCGCTGCGTTGTCCGAGTGAGGAGAGGGGCTAGACGAGGGTGTGCTTTCAGCTCGGGAGTCGGGAGGCGGCCCGTCTAACTTTTATGTTGGTTGGAGTGTCTCATCTCGTGCTTACTTTCGAGCCGAGACGATGTGGTTTCAGTTGTGGTCGTGTTACGCGGGCGAGCCACACCCCACCACGCCACCCACCCGGTGGCCGTCGCAGCTCGCCGTCTCGTTAAGACTACGCTTCGCTTGCTGGACCACGTGGACACTTCAACTCCCCCTTCCCCATTCCGTCTCGAACACGTAGGCGTCTCCTCGAACTTACCTACTCGTCTACCTCTGTTTTGAAACCGTGCGGGCTCCACGATTTTATTCAATCACAAAGCAGGTAACGCTAATTGTTTTTTCATCTACTTAACGTTGTATATCATTCGCGTCTCGCTTACCTTCATCGTGATTGGGAGGGACACTGGCCCCACAGTACGTGGGGGATGTTCTTCGATGGGTGGTAATCGAGCTTGATGTTTTCTTATATTGATTTATTTAGCAAATTACTCAAAAAAAAAAACTTTCATTTTTTTTATTTTATTTTCACAAAACCTTCTTAATTTCTAAAAAGATTATAATCTTTAGTCTCTATCTCACCTCGCACGTACGCCCTTCTCCTACTCACCTTCGGAACAAGAGATGAAAGAGTAGTAATAGAGTATTCGAGCATATACTTTATAACGAGAGGTCTTACGAATGAGAAGAGATAATGACAAGATATGACGAGGGCAAAGATGGTAAAAATTAGACAAGGAAGTGCTTTAAGAGGAGGAGGGGGTAGCGAGCCTCGTGCCGAGGCATGAGGATAACAACAAGGATCTTATAGCATCGAAGGTGGCTCGTAGCATAGCACGATAAGACAAAGACGATGAATAATGATAAGAGGTGAAGGCAATCACAATTATGTAAATGCGATGACCATCGGGGCGAAGCCGATGATAATCTTACTTTTTAAAAAATAAAAAATACTATTCAAGAAAAAAAAAAAGTAACCATCATAAGAAAAAAATAAAAATTGAAAGACTTTTTTAAAAAGAATTTACCCTATGATAAATATATTTTGGATCAAACACGCTCCAAATGTTACTTGATCCAACCAAAGATGAAGATGATACTTGCATCGGAATTGGATGACCCTATCTGAAACTATATTTAGAGAGGATCCACAACTTCCGATTTTGGGATGGGTGGAGCCTACTTACTAAAAGCGAACTGAACTGATCGATCTATAATGAATTTTACTGAACTGACATTAGCTTTTAATTTCACATGTTGATAGTTCTTTGGGATGGATTTATTTCCCCACATTCAAAATCAGCACTGAGATGATTTCACTATTCGTACCCCTTTTTATTATGAATATTAATAATATCATATTGATTAACTAATAATTCAAAACATAATAAAAAGCTTTCTCAAATCGACTTTTGGTCGATCTTTAAAGAACAAAATCATATTGATAGGACATATGCTTATATCACCCTCACAATAATAATTAACAGTCATGTCAGCGCTAACATTGAGCTTTAGGGATGACATTGTGTACTATAGTAATGCGACACCTCGAACTCAGATGGAATGATCGCCTACTCTCATGTTGTTCGAGGTCATACGAGATCAAATCGCATAATACAAAGTTGCTATGAAAAAGCTTAGGATGACATCGTATGGTGCGAATATATACAAGTCAGTCTATGCTTGCACAAAAGGTACAAGTTGATCGTTCGGGGAGCTAACAGTCATTAATAGACCATGTACGAGCGATCTTCGTTCGTAGTTATAAAAGTCAATCTCTTAACTAGCATTAAGGGTCGAACTTCGAATACTCAAATTTTCCTTAACATCACCTAATATTAATTTAAGTTTCGGACAGATCAAGTTGGAAAATCTTCGATCGACACTTTTAGCCAATCCCGAAAGAACAAAATCATATAAAATTCATCTCATAATTCCTAGTGATTAAAGAGAGCCAAAATAATGATTTACCCATTATAACGAGGCTGAAGAGACATCGACGCTCGTATACACTAATAATGACTAGCATGAAATTTATTATATGGCTAAATAATTATAATAATAATGATAATTTTTTCGTTAGGGATGGCAATTATACTATACTGCTAACAACAATAATAATGATGATGACGAAAATAAAATAGTATATAAAATTCTGAATGTAACATTAAAGCCTTTACAATAAACTATAAAAAAATAAACAAATCAAAGAGTACAGCTTATCAAGAAAATAGTTCTCATATTTAAATAAAAAAGTATTGATACTCAAATCATAGAAAAATATTAACTTGACACTAATTTCCCTTATCTTATTTTTCTCCCTCGTAATCTTTATCACCTTTTATAGATTTCATGATCCTTAATGATGTTATCGAGACAGACTCAAAGTTATTCGGCTATAAAAGACATGTACCCACTTGTTTTAGCTGTACAATGATGAACGAAATAAATAGTGTTAGTGAATAAAAGTACCATGGTTGGTGAGTCAGCACGGTTAGGTATGCGAGTCAATGTCAGGAACTTCTGGTTGATTGAATAGGATGATGAGGTGGCTGCGTCTCTTGAACGTCTCAAGCGGGAGTTGGACCGATGGGGTCGGTTAGGCCCTCGCAAGTGGATGTGGGTCGCATCCTTTCGTCCCTGGGGTGGTTGATAGCTCATCTTCACGACATGGCCGCGTCCTCATGAAGGGGTGCTAATTGGCGTTGGTCGGGATCCAAAATGATGGGTTGTCCTCCTTCTACGCACCAGATGGCGATTCCCGGGTAGAGACGCTGGCTGCTCGGGGGTGATCGCTTCCCTGCAAAATGGCCTTTGTCGGGTGCTTCCTGACTTTGGCCTCTCCGACGAGCAAGTCAGTCGAGTATTATTTTTTTCCTCTCTTTTCTCACCCTCTGGCCGAGTGTCGGACGGGGGTTTTTATACTATCGTGCGAGGATTGGTTCCGCCTTGATTCGACGTGGTCGCTGACTTTTGTAGGGGTGGAGCGACTTCTCTGATGAGTTGGAGTTTTTAGGGGTGCCTGAGCGGCGTCAGACAGCACCACCCCGAGCTCTCGGGGTAATCATGTCGCACAGTGTATCGGTACGAAACCCGACGTGGCATGCACCCCGGGGTTCTGATGGCGTATGGCGTCGGATTTGTGGCTGGTGGCATATGACGTCGATGGTGATTCATCCGGAGCCAAAATATGTCCTATCAAATAGTAACCAAAATTAGAAAATATCTTTTGTGTTACCCTCTAAAATCCACTGTTAGAAAAATATGTAATGACAAATAATATATTTAGGATTTTGTAACATTCATTTCACAAATAAACCACCTATTTGGAAACGTCTGTTATTCACGTTACTCATATCGGGAAGGGTTATGATGCATCATCACGTTCTTTCTCATCGTTAAGTTTAACCACGAGAAAGATAGCATAGCATATGATGCTAAAAAAAGGTAACATTTCATTATCATTCGTAAACATGCTCTCTCTCATAATGACTTTAGAGAATCGAGTTGATATGACCCACACAGAGTCGAGAGATGTTACGTGCATCGCAAGAGACAAATCATCTTCTCTGATGGCACGTCGTTGTCATCTCTGCACTATAAATATTTATCCATGCATGATGATAAAGAGAAAGACATGGACATGCATATACACAGGAGAAGCACGTAATCACAGGAACAGCTTTTATGGCTAAAAATATAATTTAATGAAAAATAAATTATATTTTTTATTAAATTTTTTTTTTATTTTCTCTTCAATCATAAAATGTTATGACTAAAAATAATAATAATAAAATAACTATTTATGTGTATATTTTAAGGTCGAAAATGATGATATGATTAAATATCATTTGGATGACACATAGTCAATACATCGATAGTCCAGTTTCCTCAACACGTGATTAATATGCGAGCGATAATTTAACACAATACGTGGTTGATATCTAAATATCGTGAATAGATCGAAATAACCACGACGGATTCGACACATCATAATATCATAATCGTAATTTGCTATTCATAATCGTTGACAATCTTAGGAGTAATGATCTTTAGAGCTCACCCATCGTCACGTCCCATATTGACGTCACAAATAAACTTAAGAATAATATATAATCACTCTTATAATTATTAATAATCTCAAAAGTAATCATCATAATAAAATGATTATCTAGATTCGAGATTCTTATTATTATTATTTTTCGAATCATTCGAACATCTAACTTAGGAATCAAAAGAAATTTTATTGGAAATACTTTCGATGTAGTTTTTTTAGGTTCAATGTTTTCAGAATCGCATGAATCGACATAAGTTAAAGGAAAATTAATGGACTCTGAATAGGCTTCCAACTCAAATAACTAAGATCCAAATTATCCGTACGTGTATATGACTGGATGCATGAATGATGATAAGATACGAGAGACGCATCTGATATATCCATGTATGTGTGTGTCATGCATGCATGCACATGCATGAATGGGTGGGATTGGCCCTAATCAAAATCTGAATTATTCACCGATGAGTCTATAATTATCCATATGTCTGCATGCATGAATGATATTGGTGTATGTGCAGGGACACGGATGACATTTGACCTTTTTGTCTTGGGGGGAACACAGAACACCGCTCGACTTCCGATGGCAAGAAAGCCATTGCCGAGCGTGCCTTGACACGCCACCTGTCCTGACTCCATCGTGGGTTCCTTGCGTACCGTGTTTGCCGTTTCCTACACGCTTTCCTTAGCTTCTTGCTCTTGTTGCGAGGTGATCGATCGATGGGGTATATCCTCTCTCTTCTTCGCCTGCCTTCTCCACTTCCCCACCTTCCGCCCTCGACTACCCGTCTTCCTATCTCCTAATCCTTGCGGCGATCGGCCCACCGATCTCTCTTCGCGCAGAGGGAAGAGTGTGCGACGGGCGTTCTCCGTCGTCATCGGCATTATTGGGGCCGACGAGGTGGAATTGGAGGAGCTTAGCGATCGGTGCTGACGAGGAGGGACGTCATCGGAGGTGGGAAAGAGAGAGATGGGGCGGTTGTTTCTGGTTAGCCTCGAAGGCAAGATCTATAGCTGCAAGCACTGTCAGGCTCATCTCGCCCTCGTCGACGACATCGTCTCCAGGGTTCGTTAAATCTCCCATCCCTTGTCGCCCTTCTGACTCCGACGCTTACTTTCTTGATTCTTTCTGTTTGGCTGGGTGATCTGTCGAGGGATTTCGTTCCCGATCGTCCTTTTGTGTTCGATTTTTTGATCTGGAACATCACTATGGTTCCATTCACAATCGCAAGATGAGATGGACCACGAGATATTGCGATCATAGCGTTTCCTATGATCGGGTTCGCCGATATTCAACTACTGTTCGAGGTTGAGAAGGTTAGGATCTAAAAAGGTCTCGACTGCAGATAACGAGTCAACCATAGCTTCCTTGGTCCAAGAGCAACATAACAGATAATTTAAGGGCTTGTTTGCTGTTTTGGCCCTACAAAGCTCATGGTGACGAGGCTTCCAATTTTCAGTGAATATTTCCTCTTGAAAAATAATTTTCCCAATTTTCTTCTTCTTTAATGGATTAGACGAGGTTAAAGTTGTTTCTAACTAGAGTAGTAATGACAATTAATGGATTAGAGTGACTTAGGGCATTGAAATAGGTAATCATCTTCAAAAAGTGAGAAAATTTCCCCAATCCATGTGTTGGAGAAGGAATGGGTGCATTGGCATAGGTTATCATCTTTGAAGAGGGAGGATTCTTCCCTAATCCATGTGTTCTTGATCTTCAGAAGTTTATTGGGTTTCCAAGCATTCTTCAATCAGCATCATTTTTCGCCACCCACTTGTCTCTCATAGTCACTCTTGTACACCTTTTGATCAGCTCACATACATACTTGTTCATCGATGAGTGACAACATTTTGTTGTATCAATCAAGTATTTTCTTTAGTAGGTGAGTTTTTTTATTCCTTTTGGTTCCTCTCATGTTTTCATGACAATCCAAAGAGAGAACTAACTCATTAACTTATTATCAATAAGTTTAAGCCAAGTTAATGGTAGTTGATCCATCTAGCTCTATATACAATCACATCATTCTCCCACTTGTTATGTGGGATGAAGGTGGGATCTCATGTACATATACAGTCAGCTAAGGCCATTTTAGCAGCCATTCTTCTCTTAGTTATATAAGATGATCTTGAGGTCCTTGAGCACAGCATCATTCTTTCTTTATGTGTAAATGATATAACATTTTGATTATTGCTTTAGCAAGCAAAGCAACATGCACGATACATGGACAATTAACTGGAGATTAGTAATGGATGGATGGTCTGGTGGCTAAAGGCAGCTGAGGCACTAGGCAAGGGTCATAGGAGACCATCATTGTTAAAGATGGGAAGAGAAATGGGAAGGGGAAGGGTGAGAGAGAGTTGGACAAAAGGGGGAGGGGAATTGTGGTCATGAATTCTCTGGGGAAAAAAGCATCTCCAACCATGCCATGTTTTGGTCTGTGCTTTGCAGTTGGATGCAAAACCGCCATCCTGAAACTGAACTTTGCTAATTGTTCATTTCATTGTTACCTTGATGCATCCTGTGCTAGCTCCTGATGAATTTGTCCAACAACCGAAAGAGGGTATTGTGATGATGTAACAAATATATTCATGCGAAAATTGCTTTAAAAAACCACTTTTATGCTCAAGAAATAGCAGTTTTTTCTATTTTTTATTCCTCTATTTAACAGAATAAGGTTGGTTGTATATTTAAAATAAATATTGCTTGAGCTATGGATATATATTGTCATTTAGCTATGAACAATTGCTCCTTAGCTGCCACTAGATTCAAGTAAAACCCAAGACATTTAGCTTGGAGTTGCTAAATAAAGAAGGGAAGAATGCGTGAACTTTTACAGATTTATTTCTTGACCTTTCCCTCCATGTACATAGTTTTCTTGATAGAGTGATAGTATGTAGCATCCAAAAAGTAGTTCGCCTTGTTGATGACTATTTTTTTCTCCTTTTGCGTACAGTCCTTCCATTGCAGGCACGGGAAAGCTTATCTCTTCAATAAGGTGTAAGTAGCATGGTTATTTAGTCATTGTTCAAGCTTCCAATTTCAATTCTTAAATAATATTTATCCTATGAAGGAGAGTCCATTACTTCTGTTCTATTATTATCCGACTCATTTGCCATGTTTCTTTCACACTTGCTTTCTCTTTCGATCACCCACTAACATTTAGTAAACAATGTTATTGTCTGAACTATCTATTGTTTTGCATGTTCTTATTTTTATTAACATGAATTCATTTCTTTTGTAAGTACTTGATTGAATACTTCCTTTTTCTTTTTGAGAAGGGAGGTTATGAGTTGAATCTTGAAGGTGAAGTTAGACTTTTGATTGCACATCAAATATTTGTAGGAAGAGCTGGGTGGTAATGTTTTTAACAGGTGTTTTCTTGTGTCAGGCTTCTCAGCCAATGTACTTTTCACTTTAAGTACTATTGTTCATGATATGCACCAATTGAATCTAAAAGCAAATATAAAGTTAGTCAGGTCTAACCGTATGTCTTACTTAAAACATAAAAGCCCTTTGAATCACACCTATCCTGCCCGTTACTGCAAGCATTGCTTTGCCAACAATCATAAGGCGGTGAATATTAGTTCTCACCAGACATAGACATGATAGCTATTTACCAAAACAATAGCCAAAATGGATTGTATTTAAGAAGCTCAAAGCACCCCATGGACAGTGGTGGTTGAGCAAACAATGAACAAGCTTGTTTGTTTCCATTGTGCTGGCAGCAACCCGTTTGGGGTATTCTTCACCAAAATGGTGTTACCTTGTTCTCATTAAATATTATAGGTTGCATAATAAAGTGGGGGCATATGAGTGATGTCTGTTTTGAGAACATGATAAGAAAAACGGTTACATATGACTAATTATTAATCTCGGACCTTGGTTCTTTGATACACATGATTGCCATTTTACATGTCTGTTCTTCAGAGATTGGACTGTCTCATGCGCCTTGTATGCTGTTCCAGAAGTTCCAGTCTGTCCAAACGCTAATAGGCAAACTTAGTTAATCAGGAAAACATTAGAAAACTTTCGAACTTTGTTCTGTTTTATACATTGTGATACTGAAGCCTAACATCTGATCTCACATTGACCTAAACTGATGTCCCATGTCCCAAGCTTGTCAAAGTTTGTGAAAAGGCTCTCTGGTGCTTCGGGATGCTTCAATGTAGACTGAATTGCATGCCCAGTTTAATTCATATAGAACTCAGAGTTCAATAAAAAATAAAAAAATAATGATTATTATTGGAAACATCAAATACTCTGTGCTTTTCCATCAGCTAATTGGATGCTATTTATTCATTTTTCTTTGTTGTAGTGTGAATGTGACGGCCGGAATTAAAGAGGATCGGATGATGATGACAGGGTTGCATACTGTTTCTGATATTTTCTGTGTTGGTTGTGGGGCAATTGTTGGATGGAAATATGTAAGAATAATTTCAAGCTTTCTTTTGGGCTAATCGTTCTATATGCATGTCAACTACTGTTGATCCAAAACTTTTTATTTCAGGAGGCTGCTCATGAAAAGGCCCAGAAGTACAAGGAAGGAAAAATTGTTCTTGAAAGGTGCTGCTAAGATGTTTTATATTCATTAGTTACCTCCGAGTAAATAGAAATATTCAACAATATTTAACAGCATAAACAACAGATGACAGTAGTAAGCTACAGTTAATGACGTAGTGTAATATCCTTGCTGGGATCTTCAACTTACTAAGTTCAACTCTTTTCTTGGGACAGGTTTAAGTTGACAGGGCCTGATGGAAGTCGGTACTGGGTAACCCATGATGCTCATATGGGTGGCAGTGATGCTGACGACGCATGATTTGTATCTAAACTTGAAGGGAAGCACGAAGTCATCTGAATGTAAATTCTTCTTCCCATCATTGTTCACGTTTTAGACTCATGTGGATTCGAGCAATTATTGCTGTCTCCATGATCTTTGGCAGCTGAACTGATGCCAAATAATATAGTTCTCGTGCTTCCTCGTTTGCCATTAGCTTTGTTGATCACATTCGATTAGCCTAATTTGTTCCATCGCAGGCAGCGGTCTCTGCTTGCAATCTCGCTTCTGTTAATAACAGAGGCTACTGCAACAAGTGATAATGAATATTAAGCGGTCTTCGTGCCACAGCCACAATGGCATTGAGCCGTCGTACCCATGGGTCTCGCTCATCATTTGAACTCGTGCTGAGAGGGGGGTGACGTCACTAGTAAAAATGGACATGGGAATAATTACTAGCCAATTTAGAGCTTTGGGCCCTTTTTTATTTTTGTTTATCTAGTAAAATTTTCATAGTTATATCATATCATCTTGTTGCAGTGCTAATTGGCTCTCAATTGGTGTATCCACGCATCTGCGTTGGCTAATGCCCCGTACATTATTTGCCAGTAGAAATCCATCTCTGCATCGAGTCTTCAGCCTTAATTGACGTGGTTATTCTTTGGTGTCGACGATGAAAAAAGTAGAAGTTTGATCCAAGAATTAAGTTACAAGATAAAAATAACTTTTTAGCGAATGACTTCTCAGCTTATCTGAATAAATTTTTTTTATTTAGTTGAATCAGTAATCAAATATTAATAATGTTATAATCCAGAACCAAAGAAGGAAAACTCGAGTCCGATTTCCAAGTTCAATTATCCACAGGCCGTCGTTAATGGACCGGCTTATGGGCTTAGGCTATTGGAGTTCGGTTCGTTGCAAACGTTCCGATCTGAAGTGAAAACCCCTAACTATACTTGAACAGAAACGCGGAGGCAGCCTTGGCTGGCCGGGGGAAAGGAGCGGCGGTCGAAAACCATGGCCTTCTCCTTCAACCCTCCTTCCTCCTCCTCGTCGTCCTCGTCCTCCTCCTCGCCGTCGTTTTCCTTCCCTTCTGCCACTCCTTCGCAATCCCAGGGCTTTTCTTTCCAGTCCCAAACCCCTTCAGCGTCCTCCTCATCTCCGTTCTCCTTCTCTTTCTCCACAACCCCTTCCCTTTTATTCTCTTCCTCCTCCTCCACCACCACCGCCGCCTCCTCCTCCCCCGCCTTCTCTGGCTTCGGCTTCACTTCCGCCGCCTCATCGCCTGCAACCGGTTTCTCTCTTGGAACCCCTTCTTCCTCCGCCTCCTCCCCGTCTCTATTCGGCTTCTCAACCCTTGGCTCCTCAGCGGCTTCATCTGCCGCGACCACGGCTAACCTTTTCTCGGCATCAACCTCCGCTGCCTCCTCTTCCTCGTCGTCCGCCGCGCCTCCCTCTGCCCCGAGCCCTCTTTTCGCTTCAGATTTCGGCACCTCGACCTTGTCCTCCGCGACGTTTTCTTCTTCCTCAGCAGCTTCTCCTTTTTCCACTGCGAGCCCTAGTTTCGGTTTCGGATCCGGTACACCGTCTCCTCTATTCGGCTTCGGGTCTTCTTCTTCCGCGTCCTCCCCGCTACATGGAACCTCGTCTTCTGCTTCTTCTGCCGCAGCCTTGTCGTTCTCCTCCGCTTCGCCAGTGCTCACTTCTTCAGTGGCTACTCTCGGAACTAGCGCTGCCCCTTCTTTCGCTTCCTTTGCCTCATCCTCGACCCCTTCGACTGCAGGAGTGGCCGCGACGGCGACGGTGACGACGACATCAACTCCATCCTTCTCATCCTTGTTCTCCTCCTCGTCCTCTGCATCTCCCCTGTCTTCGTCGTCTTCTTCGTTTACTACTGCTTCGACTGGTGCGTTCTCTTTTGGAACCGGTGGATCCTTACCTCAGAACTCCTTCATTGCTTCGTCATCATCTGCTGGTACCTCTTTATCACTGCCTGTTGCGGCCACAACCTCCCCGTCATCTTCCTCAACATCTGGCTTTTCATTTGGGTCTGCAAAATCGGCTGCTTCCCAGCCTTCCTTCGGGTTCGCCAATGCAGTTTCGCCTGCTGCTGCAACTGCCTCTGCGGCACCTGTCTTCGCCGGTGCTGCAGCTGCTGCGAAGCCTCTCACCCTGTCATTTGGGTCTTCTTCCACACCACCCATATCAACCATGGCACCGGCATTGACAACTGCAAGCACTATAACTTCTGTGCCAGCTATAACACCCCCTGCTACAGCTTCCTCTTTGTTTGCCTCGGCAGCTGCATCTTCTCTGTCGTTTTCAGTTTCTTCATCAACGTCAGCAGCTGCAGCATCCACCACTGCATCATCTTCTTTGACATCAACAACTACTGCTGCAGCTACTGGTGCTTTCCCAAGCTTTGGCATGTCAGCGTCTTCAGCAAACTCCGCAACACCATCAACAATGTCATCATCTCCACTTCAATCCACACCAGCAGTTTTGTTGTTTGGTACTCCTTTTGTTCTAAATGAATCCAGGCTTGTTTTTATCTCTTAATTTTTGGTATCTGGTATAATGCTTTTACACAGTGATATATTATATTTTCTGTCACTGCATCTGTTTGTGTAGACTTGGTCTAGATTTCTTTGATAGTGATAATCAAGGAGAGTTGTTCTTATGCTTCTAGTTGGGTATTTCCCTTATTTGATTGGATGATCAGTGATTTGTATTTAAGAGAATAGTTAGTGGTATCTTATCACAAAGATGTCATGTAAAGGTTGAAAAATAAAATGTAGTACACCTACAACACTTATTTCTTTATACAAGTGTCGTCCTTCAAGATTCTGATCCATGTACATTTTGTACTACTTATGCTCCATTTTCTGTATATGCATCATTTGATGTATTTGATAGTTCAAAGCCTAAGGTAGTAAAGAATAAGAAAATAATGATAACATAAATGCATGTTCTTGTTGACTGATTGTTACTTTTGGTCTCCTTTATTATTTATAAAAAAAGTCTGCTTTATTACAGATTAGGACTCTTTGCATCAACTTATATAGATGTTATGCATCTTATTAGCATACGTTTCAGGCTTTCAAATAAGGAAATAGTAGGTAGAAAAAAATGTGGTCCGGTGCATGAGACTCCTGTCTTGCAGTGTCAGAAGAGAGTGAATGTATATAGTCAGTTTTCATAATGAGAAGCCCAATCATCCGATTTACTAAGTGACTTCAACTTAGAGCCAAAGCTCATCCCGAACTACGAAAAGAATGAACAACTAAGATGCAATGAAAAAGGATGACCATATCTTCCTTGAGATTGCTTGGAAGCTTTTATCTCTGTTCTTTTCATATTTTATTATCATATTCTAGATGTTGTCTTCCAACTGTTACCTGATGAAGCTGGCTGCACTTGTTGGATATGCCACCTGATTAATGACCAATGTATGCCTGCTTCACATCAAGCTCTAAAATGGCTTGCTTACAGTGGCACTTGATGACCCGTATGCTTCTTGCTTTAGAATCAAGCTCCGAAATGTGGTGCTTTTGGGTCCTCATTGATGAGAAACATTTGTCCATCTAACTTTTAGTAGACAAATTGTGGTCTTGTTCATCTCTGCTTCTCTTGTTGCTTACATACCCATTTAAGTGCAATAGATGCCAACAAAGCTATTTGCTTAATGTTCAGATTTTGGTAGAAAAATGAATCAGATTTCTGGTTATCATTGATTTGTGGGAAGACTAGGCTGTCAGACACTTATGTTTATCTTGTTAAACATGTTAATCTTTTGTAATTGTTTTTAGCTTGGAAATCTACAAGATGTCAGATGTTTGTAACCTCTTGGCTGCATGAGGTTTCTGTGGTTAAAATAGTCTTTTGTTTGGTAGCCACATGCTGTGCTCTGCGTACTCTGCAGAATATATCTCATTCCTTTTTTTTAAAGAAAACCAATTTGAACATTCTGTTCCTTATGTTCAGGATTTTGTTACCTTGGTTCAGTAGCTAAATATGCGAACTTCTCTTCATTCTTTTTTGCTTGCTTGAACATGAAAAAAACCAGTTTTTCATTTTGGCATAATCAGTGGAACATTGTATTAGATACCAATCTAAGAAAAGAAGTTCCTCCTCAGGTTCCTCTACTTCAGCATCTGCTAGTGTGGCAAGTTCCAGTGCTGCCACAAGTCAACCTTTAACGCCATCAGTTCAAGCTAGTAGTGGCGGGTTTGTGTACTTTCTTGTGTTTGTTTTTTGTATTTTAAGAGATGGCTGCATTTATATGATCTATTGTTTTATATTTTCATGCTCTCTTTTTCTTTACGATATAGACTTATTACAACCACTTCAGCCACAACCCAGGCACCAAAATTACCTTCAGAAATTGTTGGGAAAACTGTCGAGGAGGTATTGTTCTTTGATTTGCTTCTGACCTTCTGTGTAATGGAACATTCAGATATTACTCTAAGAGCAACCTCCTGAAATCTTGCATATATAAGAGCAACATGGAAATGTTTATCTGTTGTTTTATTATGCCAGAATAACAGCAGAAGTGACACAAATATTCGTGATGGTTATATTTTGTCTTCCATATGATGATAAAGAGTATCTAGGTATTTCTGTCACCATTCTTTTTCTAGTTAACTAGTTGGCCTTATCTAACCAGATAATTAAGGACTGGAATGCTGAGCTACAGGAGCGTACTTCAAAGTTCCGAAAGCAGGCTACAGCAATAGCTGAATGGGACAGGAGGATTCTACAAAACCGAAATATTCTCATTAGGCTGGAGGTATGCAATGGATGCAGTACATTGTTGTTCATCAGTTAGCTGTTCCTTTAAGCATTTTGTGTGCTTTACTAAATTCAGCGGTTCTGAATTCTTTTGTTATTTATCCATATTAAGTGGATTTTATCTCTTTATGTCATGTCATGTTGGGTAGTGAAAAACTTCTGAATTGTTTTGCCTGGCTGGTGGGAAAAGATCGATGTTGACCAAATGTTATATGCTGTTGTTTTATGTTATGATCTAAAAAAGGAAAAGCAGTTGATAAAATATAGAAATTTTATTAAAGCATTTGTAACAAATATCTTTATGATCATGATGAATGTGTAGTGTTTAATCTTTTATTGTATGACTTTATGATAAAAAGTATCTTCCAGAATGACTGCTAAATATGTCAATTATCTCATATTTTGCTCATTCCCAAAAAATGCTCCTCTGCTCTTGGTCACCTCACTTAACTATTCCTGGAGAACTTGCAAGTTGATGTAATCCTGATTATCAGTTCTCTGAAAAGTTACCTGGTTCTGTGTTTCCACTAATCTTAGATGATTTCTATTTTTCAATTACAGTAAGGCAGGTTTCATTTTTATGCAACATTCTTATGTTATGGGCAATTTAAACTGAATTATAAAATTGTAAATTTCCATCTCAGTAGCCTAACTGCCTAATTACTAGTATTTTTGGTTGATTTGCAGGCTGAAGTGGCAAAAGTTGTGGAGACTCAAACTAACTTAGTACGACAACTTGAATTAATTGAAACTCATCAACAAGAGGTTTGTTGCAACTAATTCCTTGATTTATACTAAATTTGACTTGCTTTTGGTGTTTCTGGTCATGCTCCTATCTTTTCTGGTCCACTTCTGCTCCTTTACTAATACTTGTTCCTATATCGTGCGTTCTCCAGTTCTAATTAGTTTCATTATACTGCAATAATAATTTTTTTCCCCTCTCTTTGGGTTTCAAGATTGATAAGGCTCTGGAGAGCATGGAAGAAGAAGCTGAGCGTATATATAAGGATGAACGGGCATTGCTTTTGGAAGATGAGGCCACTTCTGTGAGAGATTCAATGTTAGTTGTTATCTAACCTTTTCTCCTGCTTTAATATTGTTTAGTCTCTGAATGCTGATTGAAGCATGTTAAAACATATTCTTTATATTATTATAGTTACAGATAATAATTATTTAACTGATGTGACATTGAAATAAAATTTAGTACAACAGATAGGACTATGATCTGTTTTTCTGAAACATGATTGTAAATTACTTAATTTTCTAACATTAACTTTTTACTGAAACTTAAACTTTGAGAATGCTGTTTGTCCTTAGTACTGTAACAAATTTATAATTTCGGATGGTCAGCCACAGATCATGGCATTTGCATAGAATTTGAAGCTGAAATCAAGCAAACCTTGATGGCTCAATTAGGATGGGCCTGTGGGTTATGTAAAATATGAGCAAAGATGCTGATATGTTTTCGAAATCAAGAATTGGACTTCAACTCATTTTTTCCTTATTTTTTGAAAACATTTCTACTGCCATTGGTCTTTCCAACTTTCCTGACAGATTTTTTTAAGAGATTTGGTGTGGCCTCCTGAAGTCCTAGATATAGTGTGAAAATTTGGCAACATGAAGTGCTTCTTAGAAACCTTCACCTCCAGTTTGCTATCTTTATGTGGCATGGATAGTGCTCTGTTATCCCTTTCTAGTTAGGCTTCTTTTATTCTTGAGAAAAGTGTCATGCTAGTATTGATTGTTTTCTGGACCAACATACCCTTCAATCCTTGTTTCTTTTGCTCTGAATCCTCTTAGGGGTCAATGAGGATTGGTGCTCCATAGAACGATGGCCAACCCTTCCACAAAGTCAATAAGGTTGGCTCAGCACTCTAGGCTGGGCTGTGGGGCCCTTATTTTGAAAATCCCAGTTTTCTACACGTTTGTACGGGGCTGATAAAGCTTTCTTTTCCCTCTCCTAGTGGCATTGAGCAGTCATAAGTAAGCTTTTTCAAGTTGGGCTTGAGGTACTCCAAAGTAGGCCAACTTGCTGGCTTTTTCTTGTGGCCTTATTTGATTCCCTGATTTTGATTAGAATTACTTCGAAGCTGTCCAAACTCTTCGACATAATACCCTGGTCAATACGAGGTCTCTTAAGCTATGAAAGTTCAATCTACAGGGCACCTTGGTCTTCCAAGTGGCCAGCCAGCCATGCTGGAGATAGGGTGGCCAGTTTGGTGTGGTTTCCTTGTACTGATGGGCTCACTAGGGTCACTCACCTGGTTAAGGCTAATACTGACCACCATTGAACATGTCTTGCTGCATTGATGCCCATTTCAGGTCCATGAGAAGCATCATAAAACATTTTTCGTTCCTATATTTTTTGAAAACCATTTAATTGTTGGGTACAATGTCTACTGCTGTTTTACTGATGGGAGATCTAGCAGTACGATGCTTTCATTAGTGTGCAATATAGAGTTGGACAGACAATGATGCATGATTACGAGTATTAAGAAATGTAGCTTTGTGCTGGCATGCCAGTTTATGTAGGTTATAGCTGGATACGTTTTTCTGGTGTCCTTTTCTGTTTTCCATCTTACTCAGTTTGGAAGATGACATGCTAAGTGAGTTATCTTTTGGTTTATTGTAGCTTTCAGAAATTACATTAGAAAATTTCAGGAAAGCTATTAAGGTTATTTACTGTTTATGGATCCTGAGTATAATGACAAGTTAATAAGAAACCAATTATAGTTTTAAGAGAAACCTACTTCTTGACGAGTTTCTTGCCGTTTGAATGTTGGCTTTGGGTACAAATGGTCTTCTCTTTCTTTGAATGCAGAGATACTGGCGCTTATTAGTCTTTTTGTAAAATCATAATTCTTTCTTCATAATACAATGGTTTTTATTTAAGGAGTTGATAATTGGCTATGAACAAAAGCTAGGTATTAATATTATGCAGATTTCAGTTTTTCATCCACAGTACAACTACATCTGGCTAATTTTTTTATGTTATTAGTTGGTAATAGTGATTATTGATCCTTAGGAGTGATATTTGCTGAAACAAACTTAGTTTGTTACGCCTTTTAAGTGAAAAAGTTCGTCGATGAAGTTACTTTGAGGATATAATTGAAAGATTTAGAAGTCAGCAGAACATTAATGTCTTCGAAAGCATTAAATAATTTCTTACAAAATGTCCCTTTTCTATCGATAACTGTCTTTGTTAATTGAGTAAATAGCTTTATCAGTTCTGGTGGCATTAAATAATTTACCCAATTAACTGTTTTTGTTAATTGAGTAAATGTCTTTGAAGTACAAAACTACAAATCACTTCTGATGATCTATGTAAAAGAAAACCTATATGTGGCTAAAACTGGATCTCAACTATGTGAATCAGGTTCTGGTCAAGTTTTATACGATACTCGTATGTGCTAGGTATTTTGAGTTTGTACTCAAAATAGCATCACCATAAACAAATTGATACTTTTATGTGCTATGTTCAGTTTCTAATCAGCATCCAATATGAGTGTCTTGTTTAGAATTCTTATGTCCTGAAATTCTTCAGATATTTTAAATACTAATTGATGATTAATATGTGTTGCTACTCCAAACTTGAGCATTTTATTAGCATCTTTCTAATTTGTCTGTTAAATGTCAGGTATGAACAAGCTGAGTTTATTGAAAGAGAAATGCAAAAGATGGCTGAACAAGTAAAATCAGTAATTCAAACAGTGAATTCTTCTCAGGTAAAATCCTGCAAGAGTTTTGCCTCAGACAGTTATCCTTCTAGCTGACAGTATTAACTACATATAATTCTTTCTAGGGTGGTGATATGGATATGGTTGATGGTATGACTCCACTTGATGTTGTTGTCCGAATACTTAACAATCAGCTGAGCACTCTAATGTGGATTGATGAAAAGGTTAGCTGGAAGAAATTTTGGAGTAATTATATTTTTTAAGTTCTTGATGTTGTGCTTCAAGTTAGGATTTTCAAGTAATGCATTTTTCCTACCATGATGTTATGCTTTTAACAACTGTTCTGTTATTTTTATCCTTGTTTTAGTGTCCAAATGACCCTCTGCCCAATGGGTGGTCTAAAGAGCCAAGGAAATCTGAATGCTATTCTGAATTTACCTGACTTTTTATCCTGGTTGACTAAGACTTTCCCCCTTGTGGGCATGTTAGGGATTAGATCTTTCTGAATGCAGATGGCACTGTCCTCTGGCCAAGTGATGGCCTTAAGCTGAAAACTCCCCTACCGTTGCAATGTTTATATTTCTAAAAACGCACAGTACCTCAATTTGCAAAGGCAACAAATCTTTTGCTGTTAATGAACCTTTACACTTTTCATATTTTTCATTGATGAGTAAGCGATATCATCCAAATGGTTTAATGTCTCTGAAGTTGAATCAGACAATGGATGAGAATATTTTTGACTCATGAATGGATGGCCCTTGTGATAAAAAATTTGCCATGTTAGCCATGAAAGCTGTATCTAGTATTCTGTTTGAAAGATTTAATATAGCAATAGCTTCCTGGAGGTATCTTTATCAGCAGTTTACTTAGAATATTGTCATATTCTTCTTAACTTTTGGAATTTGAATAAGATGTTAGAAATCAACTTGGTTTTTATCTCAAACCGTGCCAGTTCTTGTAAACCTTTTGAACTTAGCTTCCAAGTTTCGTTTGCAGGCAAATGAATTCTCAGATCAGATTCAAAAGGTGGCCAACAGTGGGGCTGCAGCCGAACGTGGTTCGACAGCTCCAAGATTCTGGTTGAGTTAACCTCTACAGTCTTAACAGTAAAAGAGTTGTATGTTAACTTGCATGTGCTAAGGTAGAGAAGTTGTCTGATTACCTTCGTTTTTGAGGACGAAGCTTATCATTGGGGGGGAGACGTCTGATATTGGAACTTATCATTTGCTGCCATGCTAATTCCTGTGAATTCAGAATCCTGTCAAGCACTTTGTAAGATTCTTAAAACTGAGAACATATCATCATGTAGTTGTGAAAATTGTCTTTGGAGATATGAAACAATACGAGTACGTTGATGACATCAAGCGAGTGCAATGCTATTTCTTCCTATTATTTGTAAGTATTTTCATCGCCTACGTCCAATATTAAACAATCTTCGACTTCATCGTCTCTATTGCGTGTGCTTATGGTAATCTGTAATACCTAATATTCTTCCTGTGTACGTTAACAGTGCTGATGAATACCGAATCTGCAGTGGCAACATGCGGTTTCGCTCATCATATCCTATAGCGAAACACAAGCCTCAAGAGAAATCGTAAATGCCATGTTTACATCTTATGCTCAGTTTCATGTGGTTAAAATGGAAACTTAGCAGGCTGCCGAAGCAGCACGAAGCGTGGAGATCAGGTAGAGAGAGAGAGAGAGAGAGCCCGCACGAGACCCCACAACAGTAATCCCTCCCCATTGCTAGGCATTTGCTAAGACACAGGGACCATTTTTTGCAACTACAGACAAGCATACATTAATTGCGCTCACATTGGCCTGTCTCTTGTAAGTGTCTATATCCGTGTTATGTCAAAGCAAGAGTTCTCTCGGCCACCGATGGTTAACATGGAATTGCACTGTGTTTTGACAAAAGACTAGCATTCATCAGGCACAAGTTACAGTATGACATGGTAAACGATGCGACTGAGAGTCGAAGAATAGAAACCTGTAACAGATCATCCAACACCACCGGGCGATGGCAGGAGGGCCAGCCCACAATGAACCATTCACCTTTTCTTTGTATGTAACAGTTTTAACTGATATCCAAAGGTCGACTAACAGCTTTGTTCTATGGAGCAGGTTTCAAGGTGTGTGCGAGAGGCAGGTGGTTCAGTGATGCTGCTGTGGTGCGGGCGCAGGGGGTGGCTGTGGCTTGGGGCACTGGTAGCACTTGGCGAAGAGCCCGAAGGTGTCGACCTGGTTGATGAAGTTGGTCATGCTGGCCCACCCGCCGATCCCGAAGCCGACCACGAGCACCCACCCCACCACGAAGGCGTTCACCGCGTACATCGCCGCCCAGCTTGGCAAGAACAAGGGCGGCTTCTCGGCGGCATTCTGCAACCACAGCCAAGACGCAGGACGATGTTGAACGCTGTAGCAGTACTCGCTTACTAACTAACCATCGAGACCAGATGTGAAAGCAGATGGATGGTACCTGTCGTGCAGACTGCGTCCGGTAGGTGAGCATGTGAGCCAGAGCAGGAATGATGTAGACGGTGAAGCTGACGAGGAGCGCGCCCACCGCGGAGTTGATGGGCCCGAAGAAGGGGAAGACGATGGCCAGGAACCAGATGGGGATGACGACGGGGAGGCGAGCCAAGGCGCGCAGGCAAATACTCCGGGTGTCGTGCACTCCGATCACCTTCTCCCACACGAAGTAGAGCGGGGTGCAGGCGAAGCCGAAGGTGATGAACTGGTGGATGAGCATGAGGATGACGGCGGCGTCCCTCCACCCGGACCTTGGCAGCAGCGAGAAGGCGTTGGAGTGCGTCAGCAGCTGGTCCCCGAAGGCCCAGTACACGGCAGCCGCCGACGGCAGCGTCAGCGTGAACACGTACAGCGTCGCCAGTAGGTAGATGTACTTGAACTTTTGCGGCCTCCACATGGCGTGCATTATCTCCCTGTGGACGCGAACAAGTGAGCGCAGCAGTAAAAATTTCCCCGCCAGGTCACCATGCGGGCGGGCCCCCCTCGCCCAACCCATGGGCATCCCTGGCTCGTAGTACACAGGTGACTCACGCGTCTCCCTGACACGTACACCTGAGACTCAAGTGTGGAGCACTCACACGGTGACCGCGTGGCCGCCGAAGGTGTAGAGTATGTTGGTGGCTCCGGTGAAGTACAGCACCAGCTTCGTCGGACCCGAGTGCGCCACGCCTTCCGCCTGCATCAGCCACCCAAAGAAGAGCATCATTGTCATGATTCCTTCCCCTCTTCCACACAGCAGCGATACTATTCGGGGCCGAAGTGGGGACGAGAAGAAGGTCATCGACCAACAAACCAGATTCCAAGCTGAGTTCATCTGATCCTCCACGCAACATGTTTCTATTACCGTTTACTTTCACTACTCTTGTTGTGGATGATGCTATGTTACCTGGCCGTGGACGACGGCGGCGATGGTGAGGTACCAGGCGGTGTAGGTGGTCATGCCGAGGCCGAGGAAGGACCATAACCTGTAGTTGTGGAAGGAGGGTATGAACACGGTGGTGGCGCAGCAGGCGCCAAAGATGTACGTCCATGTCCTCTTATCCAGCCGATCATTGATGTAGTATATGTTGCTGCTCCATCATCAGACCACAGCAAGCAGAACTTCCATGTATCAACGAGCAGTCAAGATCCAAAAAAATGGAGGAAAGAACGAACCTGGCACAGGCGATGAGCTGGATGACTGAGCCGAAGAGGAGGAAGGTACAGTTGAAGGCGAGGCCGGCGGCCTTCCAGTACCGCCCCAGCAGTCCATCAAGCACCTCGTACCACTGCACGTAGGTAGAGGAGGAAGATCAAGGAAACATAAAGGAACAGGGGAAAAGTAGGAGCAGAGGAAAGAGAGAGCTCGTGAAGGATGCAAGAAAGCAGGATCTGACCTGGATAACGTGGTTGCTGAAGCTGACGTTTTCCTTCTCCTTCCGAGTCCGGTACTCGACGTAGAGAACGCTGATGAGGTACGCCGTCCAGCTGCCCATGATGCCATAGAACAGCTGCAGGATCACCCCGGACAGCATCCCCAGCTGCGAGAACGAGTACGGCAGCGTCAGCAGCACCTGCGCCACCTGCAGATTTGCCACCTCTTTAGAGGAGAAGGCACACAAACTGGATTCTTGGTTAATATGTGATCGGCCGGCATGGAGTACTTGATTGGAGGAGCAGCTGAACCAGGCATCCCAGGCGGAGCCGCCGTGCCAGAGGAGGCTCTTCATGGTGAACGCGGAGTCCCTCCCTCCGTCCGCTTCCTTGCCGCCGCTCCCCTGCTCCATCTCACTGTTGAAGGCAGCGATGCCGCTGGCCACGATGGCAGCCTCCTCGGCTTGCGTCTGCGGCGGCATCTTTCCTTCCTCTGCTGAAGCCTCACCCCGGGCCTCCTTTCACCGGTCTCCTCGTCCTCCCAACAGCAACAGCAACAGCGCCAAGGAAGCCGATCCGATCTACCCACGCGTTTCGAGATATGGATAATAGAGAGAAACACGACAAGGATCACTGTAGACGCGAGTAGGACGTCAAAAGACACCACAGTCAAGAGAAGAGCGATAAGATAGGGGGAGAAAAGGGGAACAGCGAAGACACCCAGAGATTTAGTTCTGGTGAGTGACCGAATCAACATGAAGCAGCTGCTTACCTCTTATTACTGGGCAAGAAGAGAATTCAACCCAGGAAGAGAGCAACTCCGAGCAGATAAACGCACAAGCCGACGCTGACGCTGCTTAGAGCTTCTGCGCTAGAAGGTGAGGTGAGGAGCAGAGCAACGCGCGTCCTCGCTTCCCTCTCCGTAACAACACTGCAAGGTGGCATTCGGCAAGCGTGACGGCGTGCGCAGGTTGTGCAGCCAAAAGGGCAGTGGCAGAAAAAGAAGAAAAGAGACTCGACGACGGAAGCGAGATGAGACGTACTCCTAACCTTTGCTTCCGTCGCACTTCTCGTTCGAACATTGACCGAGCCGTCCTTCCTTTTACTGTTGGAACCACACACGCTCTCTCTACGCCGAAGAACCGCAGTAAATACACGCGCTTCGAGCTAGAAGCACGAGAAGAGATGGGAGTGTCGGGGGCAGCCTTTTAGCCGAGATGCTCTTCGTCGCAAGAGCAGCAGCAGCGGCAGCAGCTTGAGATACAGAGGTTGGATTCGTGGAGCTGAGTCGATCTCTGGCTTTTGATTGGCAGTCTCCCAATGGTCAGCGGTAGGAGTGGCTGCAGCTTCTTGACTTCGGTCGGTAACTTTCTGCCCTTTCTTTACCAAAGGTTTCTTAAGCTGCAACCATCTCTCTCTCTCTCTCTCTCTTTCTCACCCACACACACACAGAGTCATCAATCGTCCAGCATTATTACAGACACAGATCATTCTTAGCTAACGCACTTGCATTTATCTCACGGCATTTAATGCCTTTTAAAACGGTGAGGGCGACTGCCGCATCCATCAATCCCCTTTCTTCCTTCTTTTTGACCCAATTATGTCTCATCATTCTTCCTTCTTTTATTTCCTTTTGCCTTTTCCACCCCATACTCGTATGATCTTTTTTCTTCTGTTTCCAACACACCCATTAGCTGCTTCTTTTTATTCAGCTGTTTCCAACACCTCTCTCACCTAAATCTGTGGTAATAGAAAACGCCAAAGAGGCCAAACCATAGGAGTAGGAAACTATCAGTCATGTCTATCCTTATACACTTCGAAAATAATATTTTTATTTTTATTTTTTATACAAGATAAGCGACGAAGACCTCATTAAAATTGAAAAAAAAAATTATGATAGTTTATCAAAGTATTTACCAATTAAATTAATTAATATCTTTAAAAAAAATAATTTAAGAGTGATACTACTATCAAACACTCAGCTAGCTAGCTAGCTAAGTCTTTTCTGCTTATTTTTAATCTTATATATATATATATATATATATATATATATATATATATATATATATATATATATATATATATATATATATATGCATATTCCCTCCCCCTTATACAATTTTCTCATTAATGTCAGTTAATAAATATATATTTTTATTATCATATTTATTTCAGTAGTATCATATGATACAAAACAGTGAATTATCATCTAATTGAATTTTGAATACTAACTCTCTTATAAAAGAAAAAATAGTGAAGATGGAGATTTAAGTAAGTCCTATATATATATATATATATATATATATATATATATATATATATATATATATATATATATATAT